ACAATATGGAAATAAATAGACCTATGTATTATGTCTGACAGAAATTAATATTTATCCCTAACAATATTCCATTTAACATAATAGACCAAAGTATTTGTACAAATTGCTTTGGTATGACTTATTTTTAAATGCTAACTGGAAAGATAATATAGGTAATAAACATTTGTTATCTTGCGCACTTTGAAACCTAAAGTTTTTAGTTCTTCTTCTATTGTTTCAGTTGGTTTTGAGGGGTTTAAGTTTCCTACAACTACTCTTAAAGCTCGCTCCTGCCGCAATTGATACGTTTGAAAATCTGCTTTGGTCTCTGTTAGAAACTTCACATTTTTTTTATAGGCCTCAGCTGTATCTGGTGATATTTTGGTGCCGTTCGTTCTGCTTAGACATGAGTAGCTTCCGCAGCCTACTATCTTGTTTAGTCGAGAACACAGTAATTTAAAATGCTTTATATTCTTAACGAATATTGGTGGAGGTCGGGGCTCTCTTGATATCGGTGCTGACTCCATTACCTCACTGTCATTCTGAAGCACCTGATAGGGGTAAAAACAAATTAAACACTAGGAATAAAATCAACCTCTAAAATTATAAATAAAACAAGAGGAAAAAATAACTGTTCAAAAAGAATAAAACTAATTTATAGGGGAAACGAAAATTAAATGAATGTATAAATGTCTGTTTGGTAACGGTGAGAGAAAAAAAAACGAGCCAAGTTGGAGGTTCTGCTTCCAACGAGGTTACCTTGTATTGCTAATTACAAAAGCAGTCGATGGTGAGAGAATCGATATGTATATCGATCTCAATAAATGACTGGAGATGACTCAGCTGGGCTCTTAAAAATGGCTCTAAGGCTGGCGCAGGTGAGGTGAGACAGAAGCGGCTGGTGGGGTGGGGATTACAAACGACACCCAGCGTAGACCTTATATCCATGAATGCTCGCTCCTGACTAACTTTCCGGTAGTTTTATCGCATTATTTTGATGTCTTAACCCCTAAGACTGCGTATTACTGCCGGGCTGGTGCATATACAAATGCGATAATACATCGCAAACGAAGTACAAACAAAGGTACAAACAATATACCTTGAGATACATTATATTGACACTATATCTCAGTTTTTTACCGAAAAAAATAAACATTTCATTACTAACATTTAAAAAGGGGTGAATGGTGAAAAAAAATAAAGATATGAGCGTATGCGGCGTTAGTGCATTCTGTCAACCAACCGAAAGAGGCTCACATATGCCTAGAGAGGTTTGAAAGTATATTTGAATATTTAACCTATAAATGATTATGGATTGTAGGACTGCTAGTTATTAAACTGTTATTTTCCATTGTAAAGTTTACTAGAACTAAATTACGAGATTTTCATTGCCTGCCATGGCAAAAGTTGCCAGACTAATTGTAAGTGGATAATGTTGGGATTTCACAAAGAGAAAATTCATCAAATTATTCACTTCAATTTAATTTTCTAAAAGGTTACTTGATGATTTTTTAGAATAAACGACTGATAGATACCTAATTATTTAAATATGATATCTTATCTATAGTTAATAGTCGAGAGTAAAATATTTGAGGTTATAAACATATCCATGAAATATTTTTATATTTTACTTCTTCCACACAAGTACAATGAAATAGCTTTTTAAACAATGACATTTGCTTGATTAGGTGGATTTTAAATAATTTTTTTTTCAATCTTAGAAAAACATTTAAAAGTTTACATATAGTAAGAAAATTTCATTGGAAACATGTGATTTACGTTAAATAATGTTAGTTTTCTGATATTATTATTTATAATGTTTTCGTCTCTCTCATTTACCTACTACAACTTGCTATATTATAAATTGTTTTGTTTTTTTTTCTAAAATTCTTCGCTTTCCAACGACATATATTATACGTATACCTTCTGACTGGTATTTCCAGAAATTCATTTTCTACCTGGATAAGCATTTTTTTTTTCTCCTTTATTCAATTATTAAATTCTTTCAAAAGTTATATTTAGCATTTTTTCATAACTCTAAGTAAATTGAGATGATTATTTTTTTTTTAAATAAACCATATTAAAGGTACTTTAGAGGAAGACAGATATGAACATTGAGCATTTAAGCCCTGTGAAGTGACATCAATGAGGATAAGATTAAAGACTGATTGACATTAAAGACCACTTAATTATTCAATGACACGCCGAGTTTAATCAAAATCGTTAAAGCCGTCTTTTAGAAAATTGTAAAAATGTGTATCACCGTTCATATGAAGTGCTACTTCCGGTTAACTGATTTCTAGGAATAATTTGCTGTAACATCTCGTGTATATACTCATCTGTAATATCTAATATCAGTTTGTTACAACTTTTCGTTTTTGAGCTAGACTGATAACTTGGTTATTTGGACTCAGGGCACACCAAAACGTGTATTTCCGTTGAAAACTCAGATTCACAAATGTTCACGGTCGCAATACATACCCTTTCTATATATTACATATATTCGTATGTGAAAGTTAAAAAATGACAAATGGAGCACGCATGGTATTTGTTAGTGACTACTAAGATATCATAAAGTTATGATGATGGGAATTGTATCCTGAAACGTTAACTACAGCTTATTATATCAAATGCATAAATTGTATACCTTCATGGAAGTTTTATTTGCAACATCTGAACAAAATTAAACAACTTCCTATCAGTACAGGAGAAGAAACAATAAATAATTAACCAATTGCTTAACTGTAAACTAGACAAAATTTACTTCAAATGTAAATGAAGTTTGTCATTGTTATAGCAATTTACAGAGGACTTTGAGCGGGTAAACTAGGCTAAATCCTGCTTTTAAAAAAAATCATAAATTGTTCACTATTTTTTCTTACCGTCATCCAACTATACTACAGATTCCCCACTTTTAGAAAAACTTTCTCGTTTAATAAGCTTGAAGTTGAGGTTTATTTTGAAAAAAAAAACTGAAGATTCATCCCACGATGTGTAAAAAAAATATAGTTTTTTTAAAAAAAAGTTAGAGTTTTTTTCCTATCACCTAAAAGTACAAATTTTTCTGAAAAAATAACTACAATTAAGTGTTGGGAAGCTATTAATTCTTCTTTTTTATTAATTATAATAAATATAATTGCCTAAATATACCTTTTATTCATAAAAAAAATTAAAAATAATGATTTTTCATATGAAGTGGTTATGAAACTGTGTTTTTCTGTTAAAAAAAGGAAAATCGTAAGAAACTGATATTACATATTAAAGATAAGTATATGCACGAGTTGTTACAGCAACTTTTTCCTTAAAATCGGTTACCGGAAGCAGCACTTCATATGAACGGTAATACACATTTTTAAAATTTTCTCAAATACGGCTCTAACCATTTTGATTAAACTCGGTGTATCATTGTATAATTAAGTGGTCTTTAATATCATTTTGGTCTTATTCCTATTTACAGGGCATAAATGCTTAAATGTTCAACATGTCTTCCTCTAAAGTGCCTTTAATTTGGTTTATTTTAAATAATTAATTATCTCTCATTATTAAGAGTTATCAAAAAAGACTAAATATAATTTTCGAATGTATTTGATATTCCAATAAAGGAGAAAAATGCTTATCCAGGTAGAAAATGGATCTCCGGAAATACTAATCAGAAGAAATACGTATAACATATCGTTGGAAAGCGGAGAATTTTAGATAAAAAACAAAAAACAATATCTACATAGAAAGTAATGGAGTGTGACGAAAATTTTAAATAATAATTTTTGAAAACTTGTATTATTTAACGGAAATCACATGTTTCCAAAAATGAAATTAACTAATTTTTTTTTGTCTATAAAAAATATATTTGCGCCTGTATACTTATTGTTGACAATCAGCAAATGTGATGGCAAAACATGAAATAATGACATGACAGGCTTGGGGTAGGAAAGTACTCAGCAGTACCTCTTTCCTAACTTGTTGCAATTATTTAGGTTGTTTAAGGAAGGAGATTCCTCATCCAATGCGTTTTAATCTCCTCCTCATGTTCTGAGGTATGCCAGCTCTTATTAGTCTGTTATTATGTCCGTTTAAATTTGTGTAAAATCGTTGATAAAGGGATAATGTTGGTCAACTGTTGGAAGGTTTAGGTCCGTATGTAGAGTTTTGTTAGTCACGTACAAAGGAGCTTTTGTTATGAGTTGCAATAATGTTGATTGAAACGTTTGAAGTTTTTGTAGGTGGTTCTTTTTTGCGATACCGTATATTTGTGATGAGTACGTCCATATGAGTATAAGTAAGTATGTATATGTATTCAGTTTCTGCTTTAGTTTTAGTTTTGAAGATTTGTCAAAAAGAGAGTAAAGTAGTTTGAGTCGTTTGATTTTAACTAAATGTAAACTTTTAAAATAATTTTTAAGTTTGAAAAAAGTATTTAAAATCCACTTAATCAAGGCAACGACATTGTTCATGCAAATCTTGTAATTCCATTTTAGTAAACTTTGTAATGGAAAATAACAGTATAATAATTCATAAAATAATAATAATCCATAATCAACGGATCGTACAATCCAGAATCAATCGGTGATATGATAAATAGAATTTTTGTTTTTTTAATGTTAATGTTTTTTAATTTTGTTTGCTAGCTTTAAGCTTTAACTCGGTTAGAAATAGAATTCAAAAATTTTATAATAGCCCGACATGACCAGAAAATAATTTCTATTCAAATGGAAATAAACAAAAGTTTTAGTTATCGTCTCTTATTCAACAAACGTGATCTTCTTAAAAAAATACAAAACTTAAATTTCATACTTTTCTAAAAGTTTACATAAACATTTTGTAGCTCTTGAGGGATGTTTTCGTCTCTTTAGATGTTTTCCTCTATTTTGTGTACGCCCCGTACGCTATGAGACTAATGAATTAATTTTAATGACAGGTCTATACCTTATTTATATTTCCAAAATAGTCTTCTTCTTTTATCCTCATCTATAAATGAACGTTTATATTCATACATTTCAAATGTTTTATCGGTACCTACGAACCTGTGTAGCCCCTTGTACAAGTCTGATGAAAAAAAATGCTTTCCATTCGAATATATTGACCAGTGTTGGGGTGAGGTAAGAAACCAGAAATGATACTATAGATGATATCAATAAGAGTAACTTGTTGTTTATCTTAGTGCTGAGGTAGCCACCAATGATGCTGAACAACATCTGAGCGTAGAAGAAAGCAGCTGAGGCGTAGGTCACATTATCCGACATTGGGTCAACTGTCTGCAACAAATTATAATAAATGCAATCCTGTCAAAGAATTATGTATTAACAATTTCTAACAATAGCTTAAAATTAACCTTCTATCTAAAAATAAGAGTAGTTGGGGAAGGTGAGAGTGTGGTGATGAAATGGAACGCTTTAATATTTCGCCGGTGAAGGATATGATTAAATAATAGCTACCTTAATCTATCATTACTTTATAGTATACAGTTATTACTTTCTCTTACCTGTATATTTAATATATTGCTATGTATTGAACATAGCAAATAAGCTTTTAGAATTGTTATGAGGGGTGGATAACAAAGTTGGAATATCCTGACACCAAACACATCAAGTACCTGCCTGGAACCTGCAAGGACCGACCTATACCTGGACCCTGGGGAAGGCTCAGAGTAACTGTTAACTTGTAACGGATTATGTAACTGCTTCCTTTCAGGGTGTTACTAGTTATTGTGAAGTTCTGAACCAATCAAAACCATAGTTGCCCCACCCTGAACATTTGTATAATACATCCCGAGAAGTAAGAAAAGAGGTCTTATTTTGATTTCCGGCCTTGAGGATAGGTCTTATGTTTTCTTCCGGCTTGGGGACTGATGCCTTGGCCCTAGATAGACCATGAAGATGGGCCTCCTGGCAGAGTTTGGACCTAGGCTTGACGAGATGACCTCGGATCAGCAGATGAAATCTATTACTTACACCACTTCACATACCATAATAGCTAAGTTATATTTCCCAATCCTAATATTGTAATATTTCTCAAATCAGTCCATCTGAAATCATATCATCTGCAAATCCTCTCCCGAATGTTTGCTGGTAAATAAGCCAAGCCTTCTCGCAGGAGGAAGTCGAGAGGAATACCTCATCCTAAGACCTGCACCGTGTTATGGGATACAGTTCTGTATGACCTGGTTACTCTAAGCAGGACCATCCGCTAAGCAGGGAACGCGTATCTCAGGATACCAACGACTACTCCTTTATAAATGGACATAGTTGCTGGATATCTAAGGCCCCAAAAGGCTCCCCCTATGCGACTGAGACCATTAAGGACTAAGGTTATCCTATTTCTTAAATAATCCAAGTGAGGTGTCACGTTGAATTTTTTTTCAATCCTAATTCGAAGATACATGACTACCTCAGTTGGACATATTCTTGAACCTTGTATCACCAAGGGTGTGCCCTATCGGTCGAACCTCTCAAGAGGATGGCTTGAGGTCTTGGAACCCGCCATCCGTAACTTCTTTCTCTCGCACCATTCTTCTACAACTTTGGCACAACGTTTAGCTTCATATTTTAATCTGGCTCTGCTATTCGAGGCCACTGCAAAAGCCAGGTCATCTACATATGCAGTAGCGGGGAACCGCTCCTGTTCTAGCACTCCCAGCAACTCGTCAAAGACCAGTTTCCATAGGGCAGGGCCAAGGACAGAGCCTTGTGGACAACCCCTTTCCACTGTATCTTCTACTTCATAGAATCTACCATTAATCTTCAATGTCCTATCGTGGAGATAGCTTCTGATCAAGCCATACAAGTTGCTGGTAGCTTCATACCTTTGCAACTGCTGGAGTACGCTCGGCCACCAGACGCTATCGAAGGCGGATGATATGTCAAACAGCAGGATCATAACATACTTCTCCCCCTTCTCTTCGACATCACGGCACACTCTCAGCAGAGCATCTGCGGTTCCCCTGCCTTAAGAGGATCCGTACTGCCGTGGATGGCTCGCTCTCGAGAAGACTGGCCGTAGGCTGGTGAGTATCAGATTTTCTAACACATATAGACATATAGGCCTATAACATTTGACTAATTGCTTATCTTTGTCTCCTCCTTTGTAAATGAGCATGACGTTAGCGATTTTCCAGATTCTTGGGAAGTATTCCCTGTCGAGGCAATCATTATAAACAGCCAGCAATCTTTCTTCTATATAGGGAATACTGTTCTAGAAAATTGACGCGTCAATGGTGTCTAAACCAGGGGCACGACCAGTCTTTTGCTTGTCCACGGCAGTGCGAAGATCCCATATGGTGGGCACAGGTCCGTTCCGGAAGGGTATACCGTAGTTCGTCTAACGAACTCCTCTTCATTATCTTGGAATGGATCATCTCTGAAATGAAATATAAAAATATATAATGGATAGGTTTATAACCTTAAATATATTTACCGTAGTTTAATGACTCTAGATCTGATATTATATTTAAATAATTAGGTATCGTATCTATCGTCGGTTTATTCCGAAAAATCATCATGTAATCTTTTAGAAAATTAAATTAGTAAATAATTAGATAAATTTTTTCTTTCTGATATTCCAACAGTATCCAATTACAATTAGTGTGACGATTTTTGACCTGTCTATGACGGACAACGCAATTCTCTTCATTCCATTTTAGTAAACTTTGCAATGAAAAATAACAGTTTAATAACTAATAGACGTACAATCCAGAATCAACGGATCCTATAATCCACAATCAACGGATTGTACAATCCATAATCAACAGATCGTACAATCCATAATCAACCGGTGATATAATAAATAGGACTTTTGTTATTTTAATGGTATTTATGATTTGTTAGCTGTTAGCATTTAACTTTAGGTCGGTTAAAAATGCAATTCAAAAATTTTATAATAGCTCGAAAATAATTTCTATTCAAAGTTGAGCGGTTAGTGAAAGTTGTGTATTGCGCGCACCAGATTATTTTCTTTTGCAACAAATTATTTCGATAGGGTCGTTAAGACCAACCCAACCGACCTGACATATTGGATGGTTTATAGGAGAAATTTCCTTTCGACATTTGATCCTTCCACAACTTCACACTTACTTTTGCCATACTACGTCATATTTCCCACAAGTTCAATCCGTATATTATAACCGGCGTCGAAACGCCGGTTATAATCCGGCCTAGACGGGTTAAAATTTATTTCGTAGCAGACCCACGAAATGAATCTCGACCTTTCCTCTCTGGTTAGAATAGGTTTGGTTGTACGCCTAGAGCAACCCTCTGTATGGTATAAATGGTGACGTAGAGGTTTCGAGGAGAAAAAAAGTTGAATTGGTATTTATTTCTTTTTTAAGGTTTTAGCACTTATTAATGTTTATTTCAAATTAAACCATGCATAACAAAAACATCACATTTCATGCCTCAACCCATCTCTTTCTTCCTTCCTGTTACCCGTTCGCGTAATTGCAAACCCTATATGGATTAGAACATCCTGTCTGAATCCGTCAAGGTTTTGTAGAGACTCTGGTTGCTGACACATTACAAACCCTATACGGATTGATTCAGACATCTCAGCGCAACCTGCGAAACTTAGGTTGTTTAAAATTAATCTATAAATATATTACATTATTTTAAATGTTCTGACTAAGAGAATGAATTTAACTACTTCATGATGTTGACTAATTAGCAAAATGTTAATTTTGTTTTTAATATATTTTTACTGACAGACAATACAGTCAAAAGGCTAGAGGAATAAGAGCTAAGTGTAAACAGTTTTATACTAATAAATGAATAATAAGGATTAATTTTATAATAATATCAATAATAAATTATAATCAACGATTTTTAAAACTCTGAATTTAATTGTGACTGGAGAAAAGAGGGTGTATTTCCTTCAGATAGGGAAATCCGGCTAGCAAAATCACGAGTTCGCGCCCCGGTGTCGATGGGGTTATTAACTCCGACATCAATTCTCCGCTCTTAGCCCTGGTCCAGAAAAACCCCGTATAAAAGACGAGAGAGAGGAGAACGGAAAAAAATAAAGAAAAAATTAACAGCACATATGAGTAGGCATATTTTAGAAAATACAATAATTGCCTGGTAATATTGAAAATTAATGTAATTTTGCGCTTTATTAATGACAATCGTGTAAAACAATTCGGAATAGACTTTGTTTTCATTAATTTAGTTTTCTAAGAAAGTATATTCAATTAATTAAAATTTAATACAGTACTTGGAATAACCTTTGATCAAACGCTTGCCTGAAAAAAACATGTATCCAATATTTCATGCCGCACCTCTTCAACCTCAAAACGCCTAAATTATTTCCGTCATCTTTTCCCCTTGAAATGATAGGCTACTAGTCACTTCCTTAATATTTTCCCACTTTGACTATTGCTGTAGAGTATATGGGGATGTCTCTAAGGATCTCGAGGCAAAACTAAAACTTTTGATAAATTGTTTGATACCATTCATCTTCGGGATCCCAAGGGACGCCTCTATTTCCCGTTGCTTTGCAGAGTTGAAGTGACTTTATCCTTTATTACGACTATTTAATTACTTTGTATTTTTGTTTATGTAACTCTGAGGTTTCTTAGCCCACATTTCTGTCTTTCTGTATTATTCTACTGGTACTCGTCCCAGAATAAATAAAGTATTATTATTAAGTTATTAAAAATCACAAATAACTTTAAAAATATATTTTATCGTAGTTATTTATGAAGGTATCCTTTTTCTTATGTGAAGATTGATCCCCACACATATTATTATAGTAAGGCTCGAAATCAGTTTTGCACCAAATATAAGCAATCTATCTTAATATCTCATGCTCAAATACTATGGGGCTCCGTTGCAATTTCACGGGGCTTGACCGAATTATGCTCTCCGCTTTTGATTTTCTTCCTAAAATAAATTAAATCGATAGAAACATTTTGCTAGACTTCAATACTAAAACGCTGGTAAGTCCATAGATCGACAGGGGACAAATTGGGCTTTGAAAAGTTTGATGCCTACACGAGACATGCGGCCCCTGCGTTCTAAATCCCACAAATTTACCATTTTCGAGATAATGCAAGCCAAAGGGTTCCCAGCCACACCATCTCACGTAACTTGTATTACTGTAATGGGAAACATGTCGCATTTCGTCGACTTGAGGTCGCTATGATCGAGAGAGGAGTTTATATTATTTATCTAACGATTTTTTTTTTGTGGGTAAATCATATCGTCGTTAATTCTTCATCAAATCCCATGATTGAGATACCTATTTTAAAGGTTTCCTTATCCTTCAGGTGGGAAAAATAACCTCGAAATTTCAGGCAAAAAAGTTATGAACGAAAAGAAACTTTATTTGCGTACAACTCAAAAAGTACAAACTTCTTGTCATGTTTTGTATATAGGATTTCTAAATTACCTACAAATGGAAAAAAAAATCATCAAAATCGCACAATTATTAGCAAAAATACAGCTTATTCAAATTTGTAAACATGTTGGATCCAAACATTAATGAAGTTTTAAATTAATTTTGGTTTCCTTTGTCGAATATGTTTAGTGAGCAAGCAGCAACTGATTTCTCTATCTCATGGTACGTTGCATTATTTTATTTTATTTTTAATTTTTAATTGGATCACTGTAGTAGATATCTACTCCTTTACAGTTACTCCTTTATGTGACATTGGGTGAGGGAATTAGAAGGTATATATAGGAATGTGAGGTTGCACGATGAATTGCACTCAATTATGCAGTGGACAAATTATTCATGGAAAACTCTCATATCGATAAACAATTGATGAAAAAGGACGCTGGAAGTGGTAATAAGAGACATCTAAACATTCATAACCTCGAAAAAGTTATTACTTAAGGGTGGTACCTTAAGTAATAATTAAGTAATCCCTTAAGTAATTTACAACCCTTAAAAAATTGTGATATGCCATCCCTCTGGACAACTATGTATTTTTAATTAAGGTATATGCTATTTTTAACATTTTAGTTTATTAATTTATATTTTATGAAATCATATTAATAATAATAGAAGGTGATACAACATACCTCAGTGTAAAATATCCTTTTCCATTGCCTTTCATTGTGCTTCTGAGTTATGACAACGACTGCCATACCGAGATTGCCGAGATGCATATGATTCACCACCAAGGCGCACGAGAGAAGGAACGCCTGGACGTGCCTCACTCCGAACTTCCCGACTGTCCAACATTTGACATTTAAAATTCACTATCTTAAACAATTATCGATAATATATTACATAAATTAAAATTCGGAAGAGACTTCGTTGATCCATAATACATAATCAAATTAACAGTTCACACAGTTTTATTTTCTCAAATACTTGAAATATAAGAAGGATGGTAAACGGTCAAAAAGAATTTCCAATCATTTTGGTTAGGAACCCAAGGAGCGTGAACATTTTTGGGAAATATTTTTAAGACATGAGTTGGATGAAATCGGAGTTGGAATCATTGACAACTTGATTCAAGTTAATCTTGAATATGTAATATCAAGCAGATATATAAGCGATTTCTCTGATGTTGCTTCACCGAATGCAGATACACGAGGATGATCACACGAATTACAATTATGTTCGATCTGATTATTGACGTGAGTGTTTGCAAGACGTGCATCAATTTCTGCATAATGTGTCAAAATAATCGAGCATTAAGCAAATAAGGTGATATTGAGAGACTAACCCCTGACAAGAGAACCAGAGTAAATCGACCTACAAGGAAATGAAGATGTAAGATAGCAACCCAAAAATTCCATCACACACACAAAAAAAAAGGAACTGCATAGAAGGAAGGTCGTTCCCGATCGTAGATAAATTCAAATATCTAGGCTTCACAATAACCTCAATGAATGATCAGCGGTTAGAAATGTGTATAACAAGCGGTAACAGAGGTGATTGAAAGCAGTTCTCTCTTCCAAAGGTATTCAACGTACTACTACATTGATGGATGGCAAAAGAGCTATGATGGTCACACTATAAATAGAATCCCGAGAATGGCCAAATTGTTTTTCTCTTCCTCGTCTTTTAGGCTATACAGGATTTCCCAGGCCAGAAGATGAGGGATTATAAGGATTAATGCCAGAATTGAAAGTACCCCTAGCACCGTTAATATATATGAATAAATATATATATATATATATATATATATATATATATATATATAAATAAATTTAATATATTTGGGATTTAAGGGGTGTGGGTGGAGATTTAAGGGACTCCCCCGGCACCGGGACGCGAATTCGTGACTATTTTAAATCCATTGTATCGTTGCAGATCAGATTGCCAGGCAACGGCGGTGCTGTGCACACACGTTAACCCGTTCGGCCACCCAACCACAAAAATACCAGTCATCAGCCGGACTCGAACCTGGGACCTTGAGCTCTGGAAGTCAGTGTTCACCCACTGAGCTACCCCGCTCCCCGTATACCAGCGTATTCAAATCTCAAGAAACCTGTAAGGATATACAATGCTATGATATAACCAGTTCTGATTTACGGCTGCGAGCCCTGGTTGCTACCCAGAAATCTTGAAAGATTTGGGAAGAAAATCATTCGCTCGATAACCGAAGCCATCCGTAATCAGAGTTATATTTGTATACACTTGAAAGCAGATTCAAGTAAGGTTTTCGATACGTTGCATTGAAACAATTTATAATTGATGCTTTGTATAGTCATAGAGTCGGGATGGTCGACAACCCCAGGTACCAACGTAATTGATCATATTCCTACGCCAGACGCAACATATTTTCATGGTATCGCTTCCCTCGTAAATTCTTTCCAGTTGGAATTATGAAGTAGGTAGGAAGAGAATTAAATGGTTATATACAAGTTATCTTCGTGTAATGATATTATAAAAACTGTAGACAAGATTGTAAAGGCAATCAACGAAATAGAGTTTTTTAATTTCTATGTATGTTCTTCTACGGCTTATGATTTATTTTTATGAAATTCAAAGAGATATAAAATTAACTAACCTATCGACATTTTGGCAGAGTTTGTAGAAACTGGGTATCAAGGAATAAATATTTCAAATCAATGCAGTTCTTGAGTTGATGTTCAAAGGCTTCACTATACCATGATACCACTTTAGTCTGCAAAACCTACTACTTTTATTACAAAACGTTTATTTTTTTACCATCTATAAACTAAGAATAACATGTTTTACACATGTTTTTGCCAATTATTATAATTATTCTTGATTTCCAAAAATGATGGTTATTTAAACGATGTTATTCAAGCAAATATATTTAGTTCAGTAATTCAGTTGATAAGAGAGATACAAATCTTTAAAAAATAATTAGAAAAAATCTAATAGATAAATATTTTGGAAGTAAAGCAAAAATTATAGTCTTGGTTTGATACCATTTCATACAGAAGCGTTGATTTTGAAAGAAATATATAAATATGGCGAATGGCTACGAATGCAAAGGACTGCATGAGAGCATTTGCATCGACTGATCGAAAATTTCTCGAATCGAGGTAGATGAGAATGGTTCGTTTGCATACAAACGCGTTTGGCAAGCGCTTGGATCCAGTTTTTATTATTTCCGAGTACATACTATAGAAAAAAAAAACTTCAAACTAATATGCTGAAATGAAATTAACACAATAATTCTCTTAGTAATGAAATTAGAACCACCATATCGATGACCATTTCTTATTCTGCATAAAAAAAAAATTCGATTGACATGTAATAACCTAAAATCCGGACATACCAAAGGCAACAATAAATAAAATAATTTTTTTTTTTTCAAAAATAAAAAATATTATTTTTCTTGGCCCCTAGTGCCTATTGAAATGAACGCCGGGATATGTGCCCATTATTTCCTATATTATGTAGTATTACTCCCCTCCCCCCCCCAAAAAAAAAGTGGTTAAAATCCTGTGTTAAACCGTAAAAAAAATAAAAAATCTGCTGCGCGCATCACTCAACTTTCAGTTACCTCTCTACTTTTAATAGGAATTATTTTCTGGCAATATTGGGCTATTACAAAGTTTTTGAAGTGCATTTTTAACGAAGTTAAACCTTAAACCTTACAGCTTTACCTTACAGTCACTAAAATAACAGAATCGCAATTTATTATATTGACGGTTGGTAATAAAAACCTCGTAATTCCGTCTGTTTTTGTAAATCATATAACTCAAGTCTCTGAGTTTTAATGCCAAGAGAGATTTGAAAGGACATTTGTATATTTAACCTACAAATGATTACGGATTGTACCGCTATTAGTTCTTAAATCTTATTTTTCCATTGTTTAGTTTACTAAAATGAAGTTTTATGAAAATTTTCATTGCCTACCGTCGATAGGTCAAAAGTAGAAACACTCAGTGAATATGGATAATGTTGTAATTTCACGGAGGGAAAATTCATCAAATTATTACTTAATTTAATGTTCTAAAATGTTACATGATTTTTCGGGTTAGTTACCCATTTATTGTTATTCCTATTAGTTAGATACCCAATGTTGGATCTAGAGTTATTAAACTATAGTAAATGAATTTAAGATTATAAACATATGTTTTACAAATCGATGAAATATTTTTAAATTTAAATTGTTCTTTCACACAATTGCAATTGAATAGTTTTTTAACAATGCTATTGCCTTGATTTGTTGGGTTTTATGTAATTTCTTCAATCTTAAGAATAATAAATTACATAAATTTATAATATATAATGTAATTTTATTAATCATATAATTTATAAATTAAATTAAGAAGAGAAATTTAGAACATAGGGAATTTAGGCTCTGTTCCGTGACAAATATAAGATTAAGACCTACCTGATATTAAAGACCATTTAATTAATTACACATTGATACACCGAGTTCAATCAAAATCGTTAGAGCTGTTTTTGAGGATATTGTAAAAACTTGGAAAATCGATGATATAACGTGGCAGTTCCAGTAAGCCGATTTTCAGGGTGACGTTACTGTATCTCAGGCATACACTTATCTTAAATACGTAATGTCAGTTTCTTACAACATTTTGTTGTTCATCAACACACAAAGACTATTTTGAGGAAGGACATGGTTATTTAGACTACGGGGATATCAAAATGTGTATTTTCGTTGAAAACTCAGATCCGAAAATTATACGATCGCAATACTTTCCCTTAATGTATATTGCATACATAAGTAGGGGCGAGGTGGTCGAGCATGCTAATGCGTGCACATAGCACCGCGCGTTTCCCGGCAACCTGGAACAAAGATAATTAGACAATATAATTACAATTTCGAGTCCCGGAGAAATTTTAAGTCTGGCATTAATCCCTACGCTCATTCCCTATCTATCTAAGTGGGGGTCTACAACCCTGGGTGGGTCTTGGCCTCCTCAATGAGCCGCTGCCATTCGGTCCGATGTTGTGCTGCCGCTTTTCAGCCTCTGATTCGTAGCAGGCTCCGTGCGTCCGCTGCCACTCCATCAACCCATCGAAGCCTTGGCCTACCAGGCCGTCGCGTACCATGAAGGGCGGTGTCCACTACTTTTCTAGAAATTTCTTCAGCTTCCATCCTTGCGACATGACCAGTCCAATTGAGCCTCCCCAGTTTTATAAACTTTACAACGTCCATATCTCCGTAAAGGTCATAAAGCTCCCTGTTTCTCCTAATCCTCTATCCATCTCCGTCTCTCACTTTGCCAATTATTCGCCGTACAATTTTTCTTTCGAAAATCAAAAGATTATTTTCGTCACTTCTTGAGATGTTCCAGGATTGGGAAGCATAGGTAAGAACTAGGCGTATAAGAGTCTTGTATATGACCAGTTTAGTGCCCCTGGTAATGGATCTGCTGCGGAGAGTTTTCAGCAAGGCAAAATATGCCCTATTGCTGCCACCAACCTTTTCCTTATCTCAGCAGAGACATCGTTTACTGGAATTACTAGGGATCAGAAATACGTAAACTCGTTTACCCTTTGGAATGTGTAAGGGCCAACAGTGCCTCGTCGCCACCAGTCCCTGTGTGCATATATTTCGTTTTATTCTCGTTTATGGTCAACCCCGTTGCTGAAGCAGCGTCCATGAGTTTCCTAAAGGCTTCTACTAATTCCGATTGGGTCCTTTTTTTTTATTTGTTCTTCCCTACCTCACCTTTTAGGCTATACGAGATTTTTCCGGGCCAGGGGATGAGGGCGAGGAATTTAAAATCCCCTCCGGCACCGGGACGCGAACTCCTACTTTTTAAATCTTCTCAAATCTGTAATCCAGCTGCCAGGCAACTCGCGGTGCTGTGCACACGCTTTAGCCCATTCGACCACCCCGCCCCCATTCCAATCGGGTCCTGGTCACGATATCCAGATCGTCAGCGTATCTCAATATCTGTGCAGTACGGGTGAATATCGTGTGGTCTGGATTCCTGGCCCCCTGGCCCGGGAAAACCCTGAATACTCTATGATCTCTAATCAAGGAAGGAGAGCACAAAAAAAAAATAAATAAATTAAAAAAAATAAGTAAATGAAAGTAAAAATCAACTACATCAGACTACTCGTCCAAAAGTTATAAGCGATTGAAAAGTCTATGCACATACGTGCTCACCCACGCAATAAATAACATGTAAAATGTTTCCTATTTTAAAAATAAACTATTCATATGAATTTGATCGCGACGGTCGGAAAAGAACTTATCCATACCCAAATGTTGGAAGGCATAGTCTTAGTGAAGCTAACAATGATAATGGAGCTCAGCTTGTAAGAAATGCAGTATCCAGAGATCTTGCTGTGGGTAGCACTCAATTCCTGCACAAGGATATCCAAAAATGTATGTGGATCACTCCTGATGGATCGGTTGTTAATCGAATCGATCACTTATTGATAGGGAGACGACATTATTCCAATCTACTCTATGCGAGGATAGTCCGAGGAGCTAAAGCGACTCTGACCACTACCTCTCAATTGCACACATTACAGCCAAAATATCCAGGTCCAGAATGAGCTTTAGATGTAGAAAGGTTAAAAGAAACTTTTCAGAAGCTCCAAGATCCAATGGTAATGAACCAGCAAACAGTCGAGCTTGAGAAGGCATTGCGATTAACGCACCTTGAACGAGGTCCGGTAGAAGATGAGTGGCGCGGAGCTGTGCGCACGCGATAGACCGCTCGCTCGCCCCGTTCCGCCACAGCACGGACTTGGTAGATCCAATGCCAAGACTCAAGGGTGCGTAGGATTCTCTACGATATAGTGGCCACAAATTGATGAATGCATTTCAAAACCTTTTTATGTCTGTGTGGGAGGATAAAATAATACCACCAGCATGGAGAAAAGTCCTATTCATAAGAAGGGTAATCGCCTAGCGTGAATTACAGTGGCGTATTGTTACTAACTTGCCGGATACAAAGTCCTCTCAATAGTTTCCTACTAATGTGGATGTGGAAAATTGACTTAACCAAATATTTAGTCCGAAACACATATTGGAGATAGGACGCGAACGTAAACAAAAAAACACCATCTCTTCATCGATTTTAAGACAATATTCAGGACTATAAGACCGTGACATCAAGGAACCAGAGCGCAGAAACAGTGAAGGAAAATAATTGTTGCTAATTAGTGCTACTACAGCAAGATAAAACGGCTTGGCGGCCACATTCTCTTTTTGGAAACTAAATTACATTTATACATAACCATAATTTGCCCAGTACTAATATACGGTTCAGAGACTATAACCAAACGTAATGAACAGATCCTCCTAGGATTCGAGCGGAAAATCGTTCAGAGGATATTTGGAGGAGTGGTGATGAATGGAACCTGGAAGAAACGCACTAAACAGGAGGTTTATGTTTTATTTAAAGAGCTAAATGTCGTTCAGGTTTTTAAACTAAACCGTTAAGGTGGGCAGGCTTGTGGCGCGAATGAGTGAGGAAGAATTGTCCACGAACCTTTTTATGGAGTCTCGCTGGAACAAGAAGAAGAGGAAGACAGAAGCATTGATGGGTAGACGAAGTTGCAGCTGATCCTCGGAACATCCTTGGAGTATGTAACTGAATAAAGTAATACCCCTATAGCGGGTATACGGAACCGTGAAGATTGGCAAAGGTTGCTGGCGGTAGCGCGGTTTAGTGCCGAGGTAATAATAATGATATTGTGAGCACGTTGTCAATCCTCATTTATTCTCGGAAGCTCATTTATTGTGTGATCACGCGGGATGTTGGCCTACTCGTCAAAGTGGAATGACATTTGTATAGTGTTACTAATTGGAGAAACAAGATTAGCTACACTATGTATTACGGTACCTATGGTTGTCATTTATCTTGTGATTCTCTTCTGGTTAACGATTCTTTAATATGTTTCTAAATCGTATTTTAAAAATATCTCCAGCATCCATTTATGTACTGTTAACTAATCATATGTGTTAATTCAAAGGTTATAGATAATTTCACAATCCAACCATATTACTTATTTATAGTCATGAACCATTTTTATAAGTTAGATTCAATTGAAATAGTTTACTAAACAAGGTCACTTTAGCAGTACATTTGAGAACTGTGAAGGAAATGTCATCTGGTTCGTATATAGATGCTGCTAGGACCAAGCAGATGAAAGGTTGGTACCTATGCAGATTATATCTTTTAGCCAATGAAATTCTATCTAGTCATTACCATCTATAAGAAAATTGTACTGGGTTAATCCAAGTTAATTCTGTAGAGTCCGAACATCACCAACTCAGGTTTTGTCGAAAATCGTCACAAATAACAGTGATAAGTCAGCTGGTTCTTAACTTACAGATCTGATTAACGTTTTATAAGTTGGTACCGAAACTGGGTCTACAAGTTTCGGAAGCAATGTAATTCTTTCTTTAGGCATGGGATGGATATCAATTTACAGCATTTTTTGTTTTTTTTCTTACGATTTGTCAGATGGTATATAGGTTGAGATTATAGAGAATTTCTTAAAACTCTTGAGTGCTAATAAGAATGAAGATTCCTTTGATAAAATTTCATTTCCATTGAATCAATAGTATTAATACGACATTACTGTGAAATTACTGTGAAATATATAAGTGAATAAAGATACGAGAAATCACTACAGTGAAAAGGAGCTGAAGCTTTTCATCTGCCGTGCCTATTAATAACAACGCTGCAGAATAAAAATGTTATCATCAGAGGCCACAATGTTGAGCTTCCTCACCCATAAACTTGGATTTAACCCAAACTTGGATAAAATTTGGAAAATAGTATAGAAATTAATTAGTATCAATTTCATTGAGATCCATGTAATAATTAAAATTAATATTAATAATTATTAACAATGTAATGGCTGTGGAATGTTTAAGGCACTGATCATATGGAGTGGGAGTTAGGTTATTACCATATTGTTATGGGGTTATAAAAGTTTAGGTTTATTAAAAAAATTAATATATACTGTATTGTTTGGTCGATTCCAAACGTTACTGGCATGACACTTACAGCCGTTTCAGTTTTCAGTAAATTTAAAGTAATTTTTACTCTGAATTTGTAAACAATACGTGAACAACATACGTCTTATTTGTGATTATGTTTATTTTCATTGAAGTACAACCAGTTCGTCTTGGTCTCGATTTCCTCTTTAAATATCGAAGTTGTGTGAACTTCACCCATATTTTTATATTCAAGCTTAATTAGTTTTGTTCTGACAGAAAAAAAGTATTGATCTCGTTACCTCTGACCAAACAACATGTTGAATTTTTCCTATGGATTTTGTAGTTCCACCCATTTTACGTACTGAAAACGTTCCTATTAAGTGTATATCACTACTATTAATGCAAAAGGTCGTACAAATTTTCAACTTTTATTCTATTCGTGGTAAAGGTGACATTTTGTAGTCTGCAACTGATATAAGTAGTCTACTACTATGGAAAATAGCAGAGGACAATAAAACATTCAATTATACCAATAATTAAAACTTTCAAAATTAATTTAAATTAAGTGATCAACAATTTATTTATTTATCACACAGCTGTAAACTGATAATAGATAAATACCTCGAACTTAAACTTCACGATATAGTGGGGAGCTGCCAGATCCAGCCGGCAATATAGATAAGCGATGCCTATCCTGATATTTGTCGGATATTGCTACTGTAATTGTGAAAACATCTGTATCACTATTGTCACCAAATTTTACTAACCACTTCAGTAACACTTTATCTCTAACTGAGGAAAAAATCGTCGACGTAGGTGTAGAATTTCTAAACGTAAAACCAATTAGCACAGAGACGATTTTACTAAGTCAACGGTCCAGACCGAACCAATAAACCATAAAGAAATAATGAGTTTTACATAAGACATTTTGCACTAATAGTAGTGATAAATACATAATAGGTATAGTAGTGAAATGCATGTTCAGTACGCATTGGTATTTTTTTTTTTAATTAAGAATAATCAATATGGAATCTTCAAATATGGCACTCTTTCGCATTTTGTTTAATATTAGCTGATAAACAAAAGTCGTGGATATGAAACTCGCGAATGTTGAAGGGTAACTCTATTTCCAAATCGGCTTCTCCCAGAGATTTTATTCTCATATGAACAATTTTATACCTTGTAATATAGATATATTTTAGCCAATGAAAACGGTAAGGAAGCTATACTGACCTTACTTGGCAGGCAGTTTTTTCTTTAATAATATTGTCTACATTTTCTACAAACTTACAGTTGAAATAAGCCGTAGGCGTTGATAACCTGAGGGTTTTACACCTGTAAACAATAACAAACAAACAGAACCTTTGATTCGGTTTTGAAAGCTGACTCAGCTACACTCAGCTCAGGTCAACTCCGCTTTCGGTGGCCGGTCACCCTTAACCTATAACAGCGATCACTATGACAGACGGTAGCTGCATTCCACATTGTTATTGTTCAAATTTTTTTCGAATGTTTGAATTTTTTTTTTAATATTCATTATTGGTAGGTAATCTTCATCATTATTTACAACCTTTTTTTTTACTAAGTTACAAACACATAGTTAAGCTATGTCTTCCTCCCATCTTCTTTCCTGTATTTTTGTTTATCTATAATTTTTCCTTACAAAATTCTAGTTTCCCATTCGCTGTGTAAAGTCCCGGTTCCTGCCAAAGTTTCAAACTTCAGACCTATCTCCATTCTTTCCAATCTTTTAAAACCGCATGAAATACTAATCCATTCACAGCTAATTATATATTTAGCGATACCTCCTTCCCAGAGCAATAAGATCTGCGTAATCCCCTCCAAGTTGGTTTCCACCCCACTTTTCCACTCAATCTGCTTTGCTAAAAGTTACCCAAGACCTTAAATTCTCCTTAGACAAACAGAAGATCTCTCCTGGTTCTCTTTAATATTTCAAAAGCTTTTGATTCAGTTGATTAGGAAAATCTCCTTTCAGTTGATATAGAAATTTCATTCCTCCTTGTCTCATACATCCCAAACAGTCATCATTCCCAATAAAGCTCCTTGCTCTCCCTCTTCTTAACTCGTGGTGTTCCTCAGGGATCTTCCCTTTCACCAACTCTTTTCTCCATCTATATCAACGACCTCCCTGATTCCATCCATCATTAACAATATCATTTATATATCACCTCACAATATCACTTATATATCATCTCCAGATCTATGAAGCCTTCCATCCTTCAGAGATGCTTGAGATGACCCGAAGGCTTCAAGAAGATACAGACAATATCAACGTTTGAGGCTGAACATTGAGAAGATCAAAGCCATTCTCATTGGGTCTAAGCATCTTTTTAATTCTTTTCCTTATTATCCCCTACACTACCTTGTTGGCCAACTTATTCTCTTTCACACTTCCGTTAGAATCCTCGGGATGTTTGATCAACACCTGTCCTGGAATCACCTTGTTTCTCAAATTATCAGAAAATCTATCGCTACACAGCTTTTGAGGTTCGGCCATCCTATCTCTGATAAAACCCGTCAACTTCCAGTTTCCTATCTTTTTTTTCCAATTTCGATTACAGATGCCTTAAATACGGTGAATTATATAGTGGATTTGAGTGTTTTTTTTTTTAAAGGCTAATGCATTGATTCATTAAATCCATCTGTGAAGTTCTTAAGTGTTCCCAAGTCTCCAGATGGTATTCCTAGTTGTGGCTATTTTCAGTTTCTCGACGGCAATATTTCTTAGGTTTATTCCTTAACCGAATCATTACAACAAAAAAACCTTCTTACCGTCTTGATTTGTTTATTCCCTGTTCTTCTGTTCATTCATTCCACACGATATTCCAGCTCACTGACTTATATATTCCTTCTCATAGGACAATTTATTTTAAAATTCGTACTACCTTGTTTTAGAATTTCTTACCCACCTCCATATTCAAAACCTCATCATTAACTTAATATAAAAATCAATCAGGCCTACTCCACAACGGCGCACCAAGCCTAATACCGACCCTCGCGAAAAAATGAACAAATTGTTTTGTATGAGAGAGACCACAACGGCGCAAGGAACCTAGCCTCGACACGCATAGACCCTCGCACCAACCATGAAACAGCTTCGTCAATTCTTTTAGCTTCGACCATCACGCACCCAGGCTTCGGGTCGCCTGGATTTATAAACATATAGAAATCTCATTTTTGCAACAATCAATTAAGCCAATTTATTGTATATTTGTATTAATATTATTATTTTATATTAATACTGTGTTAGTATTGTAAATATTCAATATTAATACTGATAATCTTTTACATGAATATTATTAATCTTTTATAATAATAATAACAAAAGGCTTAGTGAACTTAAATATTCGATGCCGACACCACCAATCATTTATTACATACCTCCCTCCACCCGTCACCATTCAAACCCAGTCCCTTCAGATCCTTCTTAATACAATCATCCCACCTTCGTCTACCCCTCTGACGTTTACCAGTCGGTACAGCAAACATTAACCTTTTAGGAATTCTTTCATTACTAAGTCCAACAATCATACAAGCCCATTTAATTCGCCGCGATGTAATCAACTCAATTATATTAACCGGATACACTTCACGCAATTCGGCGTTGTGTAACCGTCTAGATCCTCCGGTTGGTCTGAATCCTTCTTAGGTCCAAATATTTTCAAAAATCTTAATACGTTGCTCATCTCTTAATGATTTTATAAATTATAGTTTTTATGTATGATCCTGGAGGAACTACGTAGTTTTGTCACAGAAAGTAACAAGAATTTCCCGCCTTAAGCCTAATCTTGATCTCCTCTTCAATTTCGTTTTTTCTAGTTATCGTAAACCATAGATACATAAACTTCTCTTTGTGTTCAGGCATACTACCTTATATGTCATTATCACCGTCAATATCGCCATTTTAACAGCTAACCATATATTTTGTCTTATCCGTGTTTAGATTGATCCCTAGTTCTTTACCGGCTTTCATAAACGTCGTATTTAGTTTTATAATTTCCGTGCATTCTTTTAACAGGATAAAATCATCCTCATAGCCGAGCACGGGTGTTGTCCTACTCAGATCCAACCCTTTTTCGGTACGCATTACCTCCCTAATGGCATGCTCTAATGCCAAATTAAACATGGCAGTTGAAAGGTTGTTTTAAACGGGAACTAACGTCAAACTTTTCGGATAAATAATTACCGATTCTAACTTTATTCAGTTTTTCTGTTAATCACATCCTAACTAGATTTAACAATTTATTTTTTAATTCCGTGTTCAATTAGAATATTATACAGCTTCTGCCGGTCAATAGAATCGTAAGCCTTTTTGAAATCGATATACAGCTGGTGGATAATACCTTTGTACTCTAATTCTTTCTCCAATATTTGCCGTAAAGAAAATATTTGATCGATAGTTGAACGGTTGTGTCTAAATGTGATTGATGTGATTGATAGTCTCCGATAATTTCCTCGACGTATTCCGTGATTCGGTAGGTAAAAATTAATAGTAATATTTTATAATAATATTATTAACATTTTATTTTAATATTATCATCACTGAAATCTACTCTTTAGTATGTATTTTCATGGGTTAAGTCGGGAGAATTGGAGAAAATAGTTATTGCTCTATGTTCTAGAAATGTTGAGAAAAGATAAAATGGTACAAAAAGTCTGATTGAAATATTTTTATTTAAAGGCTATAAGAGGGTGATGGCGGGAATTAATAGCAGAGTGAAAAGACTATTTTTGCGCGAACTCGTGACTATTTTTATCCAGTTATCTCATGTATCAGATGACCCCGGTCACCAAAGAAATATGGTGAAACCAGTCTTGAACCGGGATCATTCATTATGTGAGGACTGTACGCTAGTCACTGTACTATGAAGGCACTTGTGGCCGTGCAAATTGTGGAAAACATCCGGTAACACGGCAACCCTAGGATTACAAGTTTAAATCCCGGTTTTAACTCTGGTAATAATTCCTCTGCCCTCTCTCCTTTCTCAGGAAAATACCCGTAGAACCGAAAAGACGAAGGACGAGGAAAGAGAAAAAAAGGATGCTAATAGTTCTAATTTTACTGACGATGATATTCAAATAAAAGGAATAAAAAGAAAAATGTTAAGAATATAGCTGAAGTAAGGAGGAGGAATGGGATGCAGAAGGTGTACCGAGGTGACTCAATGCCTATAAACACTACAAAGACATAGAAAGAGCTCCTGTTAACCATTGTAAAAAAGGAGGATCATCATCACAGCTGACCAGTCAGTTCAAGGCAGATCGGGATAGCTTCTTCTGTCGATATGCAGGAGAGCTGCTCTTCTTCTGAGGCATAGGGTAACCAACGAAGATCTTAATGCTTACAAACTGTGGAACACACGATGTTCTGGAGCCAGTAACAATAATTAGGTTTATAAAAGACATCACAAATATCTTAATAACCACTAGCACATATGATTTTACAACAAATTATAAATTTATTTTATATATTTTGATACTTAAGTAATTTTGGGAATCCTTGCTCTAATTTGGTAGATCTGCTTGGAGTGCGGCACATACAGGCTGTTTTGCTGGCAGGAGCACTGTTTGTCAACCATATTCAACAGAGTAATGTTGCAATAACTGCTGTGGCTATAACCAGTCATAATCCAAATGTATGTACATATTGTTAAACTACTTAAATGAAAGTTAGTTATATACGTTTATTATAGTATATATGATGTATTTTACTGTGTATAGCTTTCTGATCCTAATAATCTTAATTGTATATTTATTAGTTTTATTTACAGTCTTTTGAATTATTAGTGTAATTGTATTGACTTTTTGAAGTTAAGAAAAGTTTCATTCAATGATTAAATATTATTGACTAAAAGTAATGCAATTATAATTAACTCTTGTAACTGGTTTTCTGAGGAGCATCCAACTAGAAAGTTGTGGCTAGGTTCGGGCTGATGATGTTAATATTACAATAATATAATTTATCCTGGCATATTCCATAACGATGGACCAACCTGATGAGAGGTGGCTTTAACTTCTCCCATTGTATATTGCACTATTTGAGTAGTTTAGGTTTGTTGTTTCTTCTGCCAGCCAGAGCATGTCAAGCCGCACAGGCTTAGCGACTTATGCAGGTTACCGGAGAAGAATCGAAATTCAGTATTTTCTATGTGGGAAGGCGAGTAGCCTTGAACATGTTAGTGAGCCACTTTGGTATACCTGTACAGCTTTTAGGTTAATTGATAAAGTATTTAATTAAGTAAAGCAATCTCGTCGTCTTCGTGTTTGCTCGACATTTCTCGACTAAGTTTTTTTTTTTATTCCTTTATTTAGTATTATAACAAACTGTCTCTTGGACATTGGTTATAGTGAGGTAGGATGACATTCACACTATATATACAAAAAAAAAAATAAATAGAACAAAATAATAATCAAAAGTATATACAGTAATAGTCAATAAAATAAAATAACCTAAAAAATAAGAAAATTAAAACTAAGAAAAAAAAGAACACATGCATACCTATATACAATCAGGGGAGGGAACTCCAGGAGAACCCTGCGCTACTCTCCCAACCGCGTCACTGGTACTAAAGCCAGCGGAGATTGGTCGAGAGCACTTTAACCACATACACTCATGTCTTGAGTGAAGAATCTAGCCATTGCCAGAACTCCAATTTATACAATCTACAAAAGGTCGCGAGGCCACTGCCGTTACAACCTTCTTGGAGGATTATAGGGATGGGAGGTGCTTGATAGGGATTGTGCAAGAGGATTTGGGTGGTAAGTAAGGTTCTGGTGAAATTTGGAGAATTTTTCTGGGATAAGGTCTAGGACAAATGGGATGTTAAGGTCATGATGTAGGGTTTTGTTGGATACATAGAAAGGAGCATCGACTATTGTTCGAAGGACTTTAGACTGGAAGGATTGGATGCGCTTGATGTTAGAAAATTTTGCTGATCCCCACAGTTCTAGTCCGTAAGTCCAAATAGGTTTCAGTATTGTCTTGTAGATCAGTAGCTTGTTTTCAAAGAAAAGTTTAGATTTTCTGCTTAGTAGTCGGTATAGTTGGCCGTGTCGTCGGTTGAGTTCTTGTCTTTTGAGTCTAGTATGCGGGTTCCACGTTAGTCTTCGGTCTAAATGAAAGCCAAGATACCGGACTGTGTCTGAATAAGGAAGCTGGATGGAATGGAATTGCGTCGGAGTGTAAATGTAATGTGTTGGCATTTAGATTCATTAACTTTAATGCTCCAGTTATTACACCAGTGCTCAATCAAGGTGAGGTGGCTTTGGAGAATTAAGGATGCTATTTCGGGATCAGAGTTGGATGATAAGATTGCGGTGTCGTCAGCGAATGTTGCAAGGAAAGTATCGGGATGAACAGGGATGTCAGCAGTAAAGAGGATGTAAAGCACGGGACCTAAGACGCTGCCTTGGGGAACACCGGCTTCAACGAAGTAGATATTGGAAAATTCTGTTCCACAGCAAACTCGAAAGGAGCGGTCAAAGAGGTAGGATCGGAGGACTAGGTACAAGAACTGAGGCAAATGGATTTTAACCTTGAAGAGCAGTCCGGAGTGCCATACCCGGTCAAATGCCTGTGCAATGTCCAGAAAAGCACCCGAACAGTATTCCTTGTTTTCTAGAGCTGAGGAAATATGATCAAAAACTCGGAGTCCTTGTTGAATAGTAGAATGTTGAGACCGAAAACCAAACTGATGGGAAGAGATATTTTGGGATTCTATTATGGGTAGGATTCATTTCAAAAGGATTGTTTTGAAAGGATTGGGAGCAGGCTAATTGGTCTATAGGATGTTGAGCTATTGGGAGGTTTGCCTGGTTTTGGGAAAAAGATAATAGTGGAGTGTTTCCATAACAGAGGGAAGTGGCTGGTGCGTAGGATACAATTGTAGATATATGTAAGGAATATGACTGCTTTGGATGGAAGTTGTCGAAGGATTTGAGGTGTAAGGAGATCATGTCCAGGAGCTTTACGGGGGATTAGTTTTTTTTAATTGAAATTTTACTTCGGAAGGATGAATAGCTTTTGGGGGCAAGGAAAGTGGGATTGGTGATGTAAGGAGTTCTTCTACTGTTACGGTGTGGGCAGGATGGGATTCCGGATGTGAAATAAATGTATTGGATAGGTGAATGGCGAACTCCTCAGCTTTATCTTCGTCAGATGCTGCCCAGGAGCCATCACCTCGTCGGAGAGGATGGGAAATGCGGTGAGGATTTAGGATTTTTGTTGTGGTTTTCCAAAGGGAATTGTCGCGAGAAGAGAGGGAGGATAGGTAGGAGTTGAAGGATTGTGATCTGAAGGTGGCTAATTCCAGTTTTAATTGTTTGCAGTAGTAATTATAGGAGCAGCGGTCGGTAGGATGTCGGGTACGTTGCCATAATAATCTGGCACGGCGTTTGGTGCGGATTAGGTTAAGGAGGTGTTGGGGTAGAATGGTCTTTATAGGAATTCTGGAGGAGTCTTTTGGGAAGGAGGCAGTCCAGGCGGCTTGTTGGATTGTGGTAGTAAAGGAATTTACGGCACTATCAAGGTCATCGGGAGTTTTGAGGGATATGTTGAGATCAATATTATCGGAGATTATTTGGCGGAAAAGGTCCCAGTTTACTGGGCCCCTAATGAATGACGGTGGAGAAGGTTTGGGAACAGGTTCAAGTGAAACATTAAGGATTAGAGGACTATGGTCAGAGGAAAGTTCATTTAGACGTGTAATGGAAAAATTGAGGGGACTTAAGCCGCTGTGGATAAAGAAATCAAGAAGATCAGGATTACGGTTGGGATCTGTGGGCCAGTAGGTAGGAGAGTTGGGGGAAAGGAGGTGAAAACGTTGGGAATTGAGTGCAGACAGCAGGGTTCGGCCACGAGAATTCGTGGTTCTGGAATCTCATTGTTGGTGCTTGGCATTTAGGTCTGCACCCAAGATGAAGTGATGTCCTAAGGAGTCGAGGAGAGAACTGAATTGGGCATTGGATATGGATTGGTTAGGAGGGCAATACGCTGATGCAAGTGTAACCGGAAAGGAGAAGGTTTTTTATCACGATAGCGGTAGACTGTAGGAAATCATGTATAGGTGATGGGAGTACGTGATGGGAGAGGGATTGGTGTACAATTACAGCAGTACCGGCATGTGCTTTTCCGTCAGGGTGGTCAGTACGATATGTCAGGTATAGTGGTATATTGAAGTGCTGTTTAGTGGTTAGTCGAGTTCCAGTAATTAGTGCCACATCAATGTTCTTATCAAGTAGTAAAGTAGATAGTTCGTCTGTATGATTTCTAACACCATTCGCATTCCAAAGGAGAATGGGTATGGGTTTAGGGATGTGAGTCATTTAAGGATTTTTTAAAGGAGGGATGAGGTGAGATACGAGATTCTTGAGGAGTGATATGAGTGGAGTAACAAGGGATTTGAAATCGGTGAGGAAGGATGCTAACAAACTTGTGAGATCTGTTGCATTTGAAGGAGGAGGAATATGAGGAATTTGTTGTTGATGGTTAGGTATATTAGGATGAAGAGAATTTTGAGGTTGGGATTGTGGTTGTTGTTGTGGCAGGGCTTGACATTTATCGGTTGAAGTCATACCTCTAAGTAGTTGGGAGAATGATACATCATTGTTTACAATTCTAGAAGGCTCTCTTTCTCTTCTTGTTCTTAGTGCTTCATCTTGAATCTGGTTTTTCTGATGTCTGGTTTTGAGATTCTTGTAAATTTGGCAGCCTTTGTAGTTGGCCGGGTGTCCCTCCAAGCATAGGGCACATGCTGCTGGATCTTGTACAGGTTTGGTGCACTCTACAGATTTGTGCTGTTCACCGCACTTCACGTAACGCGGCAGATGGTGGCAATATGTCTTCGTGTGGCCATAGGTCTGACAATTATGGCACTGCACGATGTCTCTCTTGGAGTATGGCTTCTCAACTTTCACCATTGTGTAGTATATTCTTGTGATATATTTTTTCGATACCTGGTGATGGCTCCAAGTCCACGAAAAACAATGGTAGTGGGATCCTATTTCGTAATCCTGGCTGCTCCCTGCCCTCCTTCAAAACGTTTGTTACCTGGCGTACATTGAAACCAAGCGTCGTTAGTTCTTCTTTAATAACTTCAGTGGGAGTTGAGGAGTGTAAATTTCTTATCACTAATCGTAACGCTCTTTCCTGCCTCAGCTGGTAAGTGTGAAAATTCGCATTTGTTTCTGATAAGTACTTCACTATTTTTCGGTAGGCTTCAGCAGAATCAGGTGTTATTTTGGTGTCATTGGTCCTGTTAAGGCATGAATAACTGCCAGAGCAGATTTTATTTAGTTGGGTGCAGAACATCTGGAAATTTTTTATATTTTTCACAAATATCGGAGGAGGCTTTGGTTCTCTGGGTATTGCTGCAGACTCCATTACTTCTCTGTCATTTTGAAGCACTTGGTAGGGGTTTGGAGTAAAGAAAGGTGATTCTTCAATCGTTTCTTGTGCAGACGTACCTGGTTGGGGCTGAGGTTCTGGTTCTGAAGTGTTCATTTTGGTCACTGGAGGTATTTCTCGTAGGCAGCGACGAGTCCTTTGTTTGGCTGGTGAACCACGTGGTGTACTATCGCCGTCTGACCGAGTCCTCTTGGACACCTTACTGGCCATCACTTGCTGATCATACCGCATATCATAAGAGAAAAAGAAAAAGGAAGAAAGAAAAAAAAACAATTAAAAAAAAAAAAAAGATGTCAACAGTAAATATCAACTGCTCTGATGTACACTTAACTTTATTACGTGAATAATCAGAGAGATTCCGCTATAAGATAGGCAAAAACTTAGAGAGGAGTTGAGGAGACAACCTTCGCATCAGCTGATCCACTGCCTTCCCCCGACTGAGTTAAAATCTTCCGGTTAACCGTTGCGTGAGTGTGCCCTAGCCTGCGCATGTATACTTTTCCGATTTACGTGACAGGTCTATCGTAAAGTGTGTGCCCTGCCTTAGGCCTGCCACATCCGTACCAGTATACTGGTGAGGTTTACATGTACTGGTGAACCGGAGTGTGTGTGCCAGCCGCTGCAGGCCAAGTTGCACAGGCTTTAGTGACTTGTGCAGGTGACCGCAGTAGACGATGTCTGTTGAAGCTCCGGATTTCATTGATAAGTCACGTTTGAAGAAACAAACAAAAAATAAATAAAATAAAAAAGAAGTTTTCTTTACCTACATTTCTTCTTAAATTATTTATTTTTTTAAGTAAATATTTCTTGCAGAATCAGATTCTAACTCGAACTGGCGAACTAACAAGAATACGATGTGATCACTTCAGTCAAATAAAAACTGTATTCGTCATCATCATCACAGGTCTTCTCCGCACCAATACGTGCCGCCATTCTTCTTTGTCTTGTTCAAAGGTCTAAGTCTAGTGTCCAGAAGCTTCTCTGAATCGGCTTCGTCATACTCGAACATGCCCAGCCCACCTTATCCTAGAAACCCGTATAAATTGCACCAAATCCGGTTCGCAGTAAATTTGGTGCAACTCTACATTTTGCCTTAGCCTAATACTGGTTTTCATATTTTATCGGGCCAAACATCCTTCTCAGGGTGTTACTCTCGAAAACCTGCAACCTGATGGCGTCTGTTCGAGATAATGGCCGTATCTATCAGCTATATGTCAGTATAAGTCTAATTAAGATTCGTAATAAGCGATCTAAATGGATTTCATTCATGATTTTTAATAATTGCAGAACTGATAAGCTACCAAAATCTGTCGTAAATTTGTAAAAGAAGATCTCACGACTCCCATCATTATTAAAAACCAATCCTATTCCACAATAATTTTTGTTTCTTCCTCGTTTTAGCACTATTCAAAAGCAGCGGTAATACTAGTTTCTATTGATATCTCAATATCAACTGATTTCCAAATTGAAAATTGAATTAGCCAGCCGCACTTAGTGTAAAAGCTCTATTCTATGGCGACAATTATTGCTTGGAGCCTCAAGCTGCTAGGTAATGAGGCTGCCAAAATTCTGGTTGCGGCTTTAAGTTTGCTAATGATAGGGCATGCTTCAAGTTCTGTAATAATTGTAGAAGAGATTCTGTCCCGCAAAGGAAGGCAGTTTTTCCTCTCAAAGACTTCTTATTAGCCAATATGAAAGCTATACTACTAGATACTACCAAAATCTACCGCCATTGCAAAGTCATGCATCAGCATGAATATCAATTCACACCCATTGGAAAATTGATTTATCTGATTTACTTTTTGTTATTTTTATTATTAGGATAGCATGTCAATTTAAAAATTAATTTAATTGAAATTGTTAATTTTTTTTTAGAATATTTATTAAAAACGGTGTTACCTTAGAATATTTGTGTTACATTGTTTCATTAAACCGTATATATTTTAATTATTTAAAGTAATATTCTCATTCTATAATTTTTTAAACAACATTTAAGTTTTTTTAGATAACCTATTGGCAAGATGGTAAAGTTAGAGCAAGAGGATCTTTCTTCTACTCGCTGATTATTTCCTGTCTTGTGGGTGGCTACCTGACCACTAAATTCGATATTAAAATTATGTTGTTGTGTTCTACAGTTGTCGGCACAATTACTACTTATTTGACTCCAACTCTGGTCAAGTATTATAACTGGCAAATTTTAATTGTTATCAGAATTCTACATGGATCGTCCAAGGTAATTATAAAAATATATTTTTTATTCATAAAATTTTATTTATATCTTTAACTTGTTCTTAATTGTTAGTTAGATTTTGTAGTTATAAAATTAGTTCAGTAAATTCCAAATTATTTTTGAGATATTGAATAACGTGGCAACATTTAAAAATCTATTTCCATGTTTCATGAGGATATTGGCGACCAAGATGAGAATACTACTGCCTTGTCTGTAGTCAGTTCACCTTGTCTGAACTTTAGAGATTTTTTTTTTTGTCCACTCCTTCCTTTTAGGCTGTACAGTGCTTTTTCCGGACCAGGGGGAAGGGGCGGAGGATTAGTGCCAGATTTAAAAGCTCCCCTACCCAGCACCGGGACGCGGACTTGTATAAATATTTTATCATGTATAAATTTGGTTATCAGGTTGCCAGGCAACGCGCGGTGCTGTGCACACGTGTAAGCCCACCCGGACACCCCCTCAGGAACTTTCGAGATTTACTATTGTCATTGTTAGTTGTTGTTGTGTAACTCTACAACCCGCTAAGGAATCATGGCTTCCACAACAGCAGTCGCCAAGAGTCCCTGTCCTTCATTCAGTATCGATTATTCATATTCCTCACATCATTGGAATACAACCCCACTGTCGCTGTTCTGCCCTTCTCGCTCTATGCACGTCTTCCATTTTTGTTTTCACTTAGTTGTTTCTTTGGTATCATGTCACCTTGCATTCTGCCTTACCAGCTTCAAGATTAATGTTTTCAGACTTTCGGAACAATTCGTATATTTCCTGGTTGCTTATACTTCTCCAAGCTCCTGCTGAACTGAAAGATCTGAACAATATTCGTCTGAGGACTTATCTTACAAATATCTGCAGATCTTTCCTTAGTTTTAGCAGTTGTTAAAGTTTCGGATCCATCTATGAGAACTGGGTGAATCAGTGTTTTATATAGAACTAAGTTGGTCTTAGTTGCCCATCTCCCGAAGATCGATGTTGCATATCTTCCTCTACCATGAAATTTAATTGTTCTCCTTTACCTATAAATAATACGAGCAAAAGTAGAAATATAAAAGAAATTGTTTATATACAATTACCCTTGCTATGTTATATTTTTTAAAAACTTATAAGGCTTATCGCCATGATTCTTAAAGATGCATCCTGTTAGGTCAAGATCGGACAGAAATGCTCCAAAAGATTAAAGATAGAAAAAGGATAACGCCTAGTTAGCCCACTGTAAGTTTTGCTCTTCAACTGTGTGATAGATAGAGACCGCTATTCGTAAATCAAGAACGAATCCGGATGATACTATTTTCAACCTCATTACACATCTGTCTTTCTCGTGTGATAATATCAGCAAGGGAACTCGGGCTTGAGATTAATGTCCAGAAGATAATGTATATCAGACCGCAAAAAGGTACCGTGAAGAGTGGACTATTCGACTGAGCGAGTACAAAATAATATTTTGCCAGAATTCAGGTATCTCTTACTGGTCTTTATACTTTGATTGTATCTTCATAACCACCGATGATTTAACCGAGACCAATGTAAAAGCTAGTAATGATGCTCAAAACCGCTACCTATGGGGTTTGCAGAAGACCCTTAAGTTCTAGAATCTCTCAATAAAGGCAAAGCTTTTAATCTATAAGACCTTCTGGCTTCTATATCAGGAAATCATGGACCCTAACAGCAGAAAACAACTAAAACAACTTCGTCGAATATTCATTGTAGTGAAAGCGGGATATACATGGTGAAACAGAACCAAAAAGAAGCTGCGTGGTCACCTGGAAAAGGAGATATCGTGTCGTTTGACCCCAAAATGAGTTTTTTATTTTTATATTTCCTTAAATGTTTGGAGTCCATTCGTTGTTCCACAAAAGGAAGAGGTTTGATTATTTTTATCATATTAGATTTATTGTGGGCCTCTGTGAGGGCCTATAAGATCTTTATATTTTTCTAGTGCTGTGATATGTTTGACTCCAAAAATAATTGTTATATATTTGGGGTTCTATCGGTGGGTCCATAAAATAATTTTTCTGTATTTGTTTATTTCCAGAATTTTTTGGGAACCCTCATCTGGGTCCCCAACATAAATGTTTTTATCGCCGTAGAATGATTGGGAGCCCCCGGAAATCGTTATTCCCTATTTACCGAATGTATCGTAGTATTCTTTGCCACCCAAATAATTATTTTGTATTCGTTTATTCCCCCTAATTTTTAGAGCCCCTCCGATGGACCCCCAACATACATTTTATTTTACTTTTTTATCGACGCAGAATGAATGGAGCCCCTCCCAGGGACCCCCAAGATTAATTGTTTATATTTTTTTATCGCCGTAGAATGATTGGGGCCCCCTTCGATGAGCCAATGATCGTTTTGTATTATTCCTGGATCATTCCAGGTAGGATTTGCCCAAAAATAATCTTTTTGTATTTTTTTATTTCTGCTAAGGTTTGGAGCTCCTCCGGTGACTCCAATTTTTTTTTTCACTGTAGAATGATTGTGGGTCCCTCTGAAGACATTTTATTTTTAGAAAACCTTGGCATTTGGTCTCAAAAATAATTGTCTTATACTTCCTCAAATATTGGGAGCCCCTCCTGTGGAAGCTTCGTGTATGGGCGGAAAGTGGCAACGGGGGAGGGGAAGGTGGTATACCATTTCAAGATACACCAAGGAACAAGTAAAATGATGGAAGTTAAAAAACAGCTAACAGATAAGTTAACTGTGAAAATTAGCTATTAACTGATAAGTTAACTAGAAAATTAGCTACGAACAACAGTTAATAGCTTAATTAACTGCATATTTATCGAAGATAATTAGCTGTTTAGCTGAATCTTACTTAATGCCCAACTCTATTGTTGAATGATAAAATTTAAAAAAAGATAACTAGCCGCTAATGACCCGCTAGGGTAGATGCGGAATGTAACAATAAATAAAATAAAATAAAAAAGATAACTTTTATTGTTGAGTTATATTTTGCTTAAACCTTGATCTATCTTGTTGAGAGTAGTTTCGCTGCATTCAGGGTGAAAAAAATGTATCAAAAAGTTGACTATTATAACTTTTTAATTTATATAATATGCTAACAATAACTGTTATATTTCGATTTGGCCAAACTATTTATTCTCAAATTCAATTTCTGTTTAGCACTAAATTTAATTAGGTATTAATTTATACATATTTTTTCATTAAGTTCTTCTTTTAACAACTTTGCATAAACTCAGATAATAGATTTATATTTTTATTATTATTTACAGAATGTATTTGTTGAATATGTTTAGGGATTCATTAGACCACTAGTGTATTCACAACTTGTTCGATGGCTGCCTCCGGATGAATTAATGCTAATGGGGCCTGTTGTTTTATCAAGTAAGCATATTTCTATAACACATTTTAAACATGTGTACAGCCCTAAAGCCCCTCCCCTCCCGTAGTTCCGCCTGAGCTTGCACTTACTTATACATTCATTGTTTAGTAAGGAAAATTTTTTGTTCTTCCCTTCCTTGCCTTTTAGGCTAAACGGGGATCTTCCCGGACCGAGGGGATTATGCCGGGTTAAAAGTCCCACCGGGCACAGAGATTCGTACTCTTAATTATTTTTCCATCTCTAACTTCGGTTTTCAGATTGCGCAGTGCACATGCGTTAGCTTCCTCGGCCACCCCGTCCCCTGGGTCCACATAACCAAGTGGCGCAAAACGGTCTGAGTATATTTTTGTGTGTGTGTGAATCATAGGCGCAGACTTTATGGGTGGGCGAGGGAGCGATCGCCTCTTCCTCCCAATACAAATGTTGAGGTGGCAAGAATATCGTTTCGTCCCTCTCCCCCAATAATGTGGAGTAAAAAAAATATACATATATATAAACTATAATCGATTCGTAACATAAGAAAAGGCTACTACCTTGATAGTCTAAAGTCTATAAGTAGGTATGTAACTATTTTATCACGGCCTAAATAGTCCTATTATTTATATTTAGTTATAATAATTCGTCTATTAATTTTTCTCCTAAAATGCAGATTTTATTCTTTATTTCCAACTATTGAAGGAAGTTAGTCGACTGTTCCACATATCATGGGTGGTAAATATTCAAGACACAGTCATTATAATGTTTTTATTAGTGTTGACCAAACATGTGGGTCATCATCAGTGCTCGAACCACAACCTGATGATGAGCCACATGTTTGGGTTGAAACGTCGGCACTAATAAAAACCTTATAATGACTGCGTCCTGAATATTTATCACCCATTATAAGTAATATATACTAATCGAAAGTATTGCGATCATGAAATTTTTTTAATCTAAGTTTTCAACGAAAATACACGTTTTGAGGTCCACTGAGTCCAAATATCCAAGTCCTGCAAATTGGTCTGTGTATATGTGAACAGTCTAGCTCAAAAACGAAAAGTCTAACGAAACTGATATTACGTATATAAAATAGGTATATGCCTTAGATGCGACAAGAACTTTTTCCTTAAAATCGGCTAACCGGAAGTGCCACTTTATATCAACGGTAAAACACATTTGTACAATTTTTTTAAAAACGGCTCCAACGATTTTAATTAAACTCGGTGCATCATTGTATAATTAAGTGATCTTTAATATCATTTAGGTCTTATCTCCACTGATGTCACTTTACAGGGCTTAAAGTACCTTTAATATGGTTTCTTTAATAAAATTAACTCTCTTTTATTGGCAGTAACTATAAAAAAAGAAGTTTGAAAGAATAATTGGATAATTGGAAACTGGGAAAAAAATTAAATTGCTTATCCAAGTTGAGAATGAATCTCCCGAAATAACAGTCAGAAGGTATACTTATAACATATCGTTGGAAAACGGAGTATTTCTGAAAAAAATATCAAATAAATATAGTTGTTCAATATTGGGGGGCCCGGTACATGCCATAAGACCGGGAGCCCTTTTCTTGAGATATACAAAATAAAGAAATGTTCTATAGAGGAATACTTGTGAATATATATAAAATAGTTTACGAACAGTTTGATGAGAGGGCCGGTCTCGCGCCTTCTCTCTCTCTCTCCGCCGTTCTAGGTCCAGGAAATAGCCGAAGGGCTGTAGCTCTGGAGGTCTGGTCAGGAGGTAGGTCGTAAACCGTGCTTTTTACCAACTTCGCTCGCTAGCATCTGTCCTTTGGCCGTAGATAAGGCCGTCTTAGAGAGGGGGTAGTGCAAGTTGAGACCGGGGTTCCCCCGTGTTATTTATATAAGCCAATTAATATAATTTAAAATATTAAATACAATAAAATTTTGGATGTAAATCCAACAATAGTAGTAGAATGTAACATAGAGTGACGAAAATAATATAAATAATAATTTCAGAAAACTATCATTATTTAACGTAAATCACATGTTCCAATTAAATTAATTTTACTTAAATTAAATTTTATTTTATTTAATTAATTAAATGAAATTTACTTACTAAATGTTAACTTTTCATTTTTTTTTTAAGTTTGTAAAAACAAGTATTCAAAATCCATCGAATCAAGCCAATGCCATTATTTAAAATACTATTTCATTGTACTTGTGTGAAATAAGAAGTAATATAAAAATATTTCATGGATATATTTATAATCTATACATTTACTGTAGTTTAATAACTCTAGATATGATATTGAGTTCTGCGCATGCGTTAGCCCTAGTTAAACATACGTCAGTTCGTCTCTTATAAACAATCTCAATTATCAGTGGCAGTATACAAGTTTAATGTGAACAATTAGTGTTATCAGTTACATTAACAATTACGGTTGATACTGGACAAAAAAAATAAGGTGAGTAATCACTTATTTACAACACAAGAGTGAACAGTATAAATATACCTGAGGTTAGTTAGATAAAGGCCAGCCATATACATCGTTAATCCCACTAGTGGGCTGGAGCTCTTCGTCGGAAGCAGACTTGTGCTCTCCAAGAGCGCGTCTATATTTTCGTCTTCAATAAAATTTTTTTTTTTTTTCATCGCTTCACTTTTATAAATTTTCCTTTTAAAAATTAATATGAAATGCGATATTATCACATGCTAATGTCGAGTAAGGGCAAAAACACCAGGTCCAGGAGCCTCGATACTACAATGAGTTCTCCCATTAAAAAAAAAGACAAGGCATTCGAAAAGAAACACTCCACCAGCCACACCAGGGAGCTCCATAGAAGAAGTGGAACCCCAACCTGGCTCCTCACAACAACCCAACAATTATGAGACAACTCAAGCTATGGGCGAAGAATCGCCGTTTTTCACTTCGAATCCATTTGAAGTGCTTTCAAATATAAATAACGAACAAATGGAAGCAGCATCCATCCCCAGAGAACCCAAACCCCCACCAATATTTGTTAGAAATATTAAAAATTTTCAATTGATGTGTCATCAATTGAATAATCTGATAGGTTCAGGAAAATATTTATGCCAAAGCCGCACCAATGAGACTAAGTCAATGCCCGACACTCCAGAAACCTATAGAAAAATCATAAAATATTTATCTGACACCAAGGCTGATTACCACACGTATCAACTGCGTCAAGAGAGGGCGCTCAGGGTCGTTATCAGAAGACTGCACCCATCTACGCCAACAGATGCTATAAAAGAAGAGCTCACGGGTATGGGATTCCATGTTCGCCAGATAGTGAACATATTTAAGGAGGATAGAGAACAGCCTGGAATAAAAAATAAAATACCTCTTCCACTATTCTTCGTTGACCTTGACCGAACACCCGATGTCGAAAACATCTACAAGGTCACACGCCTTTATTATACAAGCGTTGTTGTAGAAAAGCCCTACAGCAAGCGCGACATCGTTCAATGCCCTAACTGCCAGGCTTATGGCCACACGAAACGGTATTGTTATCACATCCTAGATTTATGAGGTGTGGTGAGCAACACAAAACAGAAGACTGTAGGAAGTCAAGAACTTCACCTGCAGTATGCGCTTTATGCCACCAAGGACACCCAGCCAACTACAAGGGTTGTCAAACATACAAAAATTTAAAAACACGAATGTACGCAACGCCTAGAGAAGAAGGGACATCCAGGCCACCAAGACACCCCTCTAGAACAGTGAACGGAAGAGTGTCCTATGCTCAGATGTTCAAAGGAGACACTGTAAACACTCAATCTCAGGCCCTGCCACAAGAACCTAAACCTCAAGAATTCCCACATCAACCTCAAGACCCATATCCCTCCATCTCCGAACGTAGGTTAAATACACATACATTCATTCCTCCTCCTTCCAATTCCACTGACCAAACAAGCCTACTGACATCTTTCCTTTCCGACTGTAGATCTCTCATTACCCCTCTTATTTCGCTACTTACCAATGTTACATCCAACCTCATTCCACTGCCAAGAAATCCATAAATGTCCTCAACCAAATTCCTCTCCATTCTCCTTTGGAATGCGAATGGTATTCGGAACCACATCAACGAACTGACAATCTTATTACATGACAAAAACATTGACGTAGCACTAATAACTGAAACTCGACTAACCAACAAACGACAAATCAAGGTTCCCGGCTACAATATTTATCGAACCGACCATCCTGATGGAACAGCACATGGTGGCATTGCCATAATTATCCATAGATCCGTTTCAAATCATTTGTTTCCCTTACCAAACCATAATTTCCTACAACCCACAGCCGTAATAATCCAAACACCCCTTTACCCAATGACACTAGTTGCGGCATATTCCTCCCCCCAACCCCGACCTTTTAGACTTTTTCCTACACAAAGGTCTAGGATCACTACACTACTCCATTTCAAGGTTTGATGATCTTTCCTCAGACCTAGTCCTAACCGTTTCCACATCTCCTATTTCCAAATCATCTCCACCTTCATTTATCCAGGGGGCCAGTTAACTGGAACCTTTTCCGTCAAATACTGGAAGATAATAAAGACATCAGAGTTTCCTTAAAAACACCTGAAGACCTCGACGATGCAGTGCATTCCTTCACTACCCTGATCCAGCAAGCAGCTTGGACTGCATCCTCACCTGATCGTCCCAAAAAATACCACAACATAAATCCTTTACCTCAAGACCTACTGGACCTTATCCATAGCAAACGTTGCTCTAGGACCCTTTGGCAAAGAATCAGGCATCCTGATGACCGGATATCGGATAATTATTATTCCAAACAGGTAAAAAAGAAACTGGATACCTTTAGAACCCAATCCTACAATTCCTACGTCTCCTCATTATCCGCTAGTGATAACTCTCTCTGGAATGTAACCAAAAAAATCCTTAAATTCCAGTCCATTTCCCATCTACTTCGCCGTGATGATGGTTCCTGGGCTTCGTCAGATGCGAATAGAGCAGAAGAGTTTGCTAAACATCTATCCAACACATTCACCCCTCATCCCGAACTCAATCCCACCTACACTGCTGAAGTTGAAGAATTCCTCTCTTCACCAATTCCTCTCTCTACCTCCAAAACCTGTTAACCCCTCTGAGCTCAAATTCCTTATAAACAAATTAAAACCCCGAAAATTCCCTGTAAATGATCCCCTCACTTCACAAATCCTCAGACAACTTCCCAAAAAAGCAATCATATTCCTTACCTATCTATACAACTGCATCCTTCTTACCATCAACTTTCCTTTGGTGTGGAAACACTCCATAATCATCCTGTTTCCAAAACCAGGTAAACCTGTTAATAACACATCATCCGATAGACCGATAAGCTTACTCCCGATCCTCTCAAAAATCTTTGAGAAAATCCTTGTCAAAAGCATCATCCTACCCATAATCGAATCCCACAACATCCCTTCTCATCAGTTTGGATTCCGCTCAAGAGGTGCCTTTCTGGACGTAGCGCAAGCTTTCGCAAGCCCGTAGCGCAACCGGGTGTGGCACGATGGCTTGCTTTTCAAGCTCAAAACCTATTTACCCCAATTCTTATACCTAGTCCTCAAATCCTACCTCTCAAATCGTTCCTTTCAAGTCCATTGTGACACCGAATTCTCCACTTACTATCCGGTTGAGGCTGGTGTTCCACAAGGCAGTGTCTTGGGCCCAGTTCTCTACATACTCTTCACTTCCGATATCCCTTGAAATCCCCATACATTTCTAGCTACATTTGCTGATGATACTGCCATTCTATCCTCCCACTCAGATCCTCAAATAGCATCTCTAAACCTACAATCTCACCTCTCCTTGATTGAGCAGTGGTGCAATAACTGGCGCGTCAAAATCAATGAATCAAAATGCAAACATATCACTTTCACCCTGCGACGCAGATCCTGTCCGCCAATCCTTTTTAATTCAATTTCACTTTCCTACTCAGACACAGTCCGTTACCTTGGCTTCCTTCTTGACAACTGGCCCAGCTGTATAAATTACTAAGTAGGACATCCCATCTTTCGATTGAAAATAAACTTTTAATCTACAAGACCATACTGAAACCTATCTGGACCTACGGACTTGAACTGTGGGAAACTGTTAAACATTCGAATATCAAACACATCCAATCCTTCCAGTCCAAAGTACTCAGAACAATAGTCAATGCCCCATATTATGTCACAAACAAGACCCTACACCATGACCTTAACATCCCATTTGTCCTTGACATCATCCCATCCAGATTCTCAAACTTTCACCAGAACCTTATCTATCATCCAAATCCTCTAGCTCAATCCCTATCCAGCTCCCTTCATCCCTACAATCCTCCACGAAGGTTAAAACGGCAGTGGCCCAGAGATCTCTTGTAAATATGCTTCTGGAGTCCTGCCAATGGCTAGCATCTTCACTCATGTCCTGAGCGTCTGTGGCTCTAGTGCCCTCTTTCAGTCTCCACTGGCTTCTAATACTAGTAATGCGGCTGAAAATGTGGCACTGGGATCTCCAGGAGTCTTGCTTTGCCTTCCACATGTGGGGGAAAAAGCCTGGCTCGGAGATTCCTGGGCGAATGTATATATTGTATATAGGTATGATTGTGTTTAGAAGTTTCTATTTTATGTTATTTGTTTACTTTTTTTTTTCTTTTATTTACTTCATTCATCAGTATTATTTATTTACTTTTTATATTTATATTTATTTCTCTATTATGTGTATATATTGTATGAATGAGAACTCTTAGCCCTAATACTTATTGCCCTCCAGCAGTGGCTGATTGTATTATTATTCAATAAATAGATAAAAAAAAAAAAAGATATGGTATTATATTTAAATAATTAGGTATCTATTGGCTGTTTATTCCAAAAAAAATCAGCAAGTAATCTTTTAGAAAATTTAATTAGTGAATAATTTGATGAATTTTCTTTTTTTGAAACCCCGACATTATCCACTTAAAATTAGTGTGACCAATGATCACACACCTGATCACACCTGACATATCCATGTCAGGCAATGAAAATCTCGTAATTTCATTTTAGTGAACTTTACAATGGAAAATAACAGTTTAATAAATAATAGTTCTACAATAGGTAATCATTTACAGGTTAAATATCCAGAGATACTATATGAGATACTTTCAAATATCTCTAGCCATATATGAGCCTTTTGGTTGACAAAATGACTAACTCCAATTTGAACATTCGTTATTATTAATTTTAGTGATGTTTCTAGTGGCAAAATGCATGATTATGAGAACATGTACTATTAGTTAGATTTATTAAATTTTACAAGTATATTTACTACCCTGACCTGTGAGCTCCATTTGTCATATAACTGATGTCAAATTTTTCATATTTTACTGATTAATATTTGGCATGGGGTTATACATTACCAAACCAACAATTGGTCAGCTTTACCAAGATTAAAATTTATCATTGTACTTTGTATCAATTGTTTTTTTGTTTGTATGGAAGTATGTTAAGTTTTATTGAATATTAATATTGTTGATTTTAAATGTTATGAATTATATCAGAAAAGTGCGTACCCAGATTTTCTGTGTCGGTTCCAGTGAAAAGTTCCAGTTCTGTATCGGTTTTGAAATTAAATTTTATTCTATTGTTTTCTGCAATTGCAAGAATTGCTACAAAAAAATTGTTATTGCTTTTTTTTATGTTCTGTTCCTAATATTTATGGACTTTTGAAATTGGTGTTTTATGCTGTGGAATACTACTACTGTAGAGTTGATGTTTTTTCAGTTAGAGATGTGCTGGGTTATTCTGGTTTTGAGTTTTTTTAAGATTTGACCTTTGTATATTTGATGACAGTCTTGGCAATTTAATTTGTATATTAATAATAGTACTATACCATTCAGCACTATTTCACTTATCGAGATTAATATGTTACTTAAGTTGACCTGAATTTTAATATTTACCATTAATTGCTTTTGTTACTTTAGGTCTGTTCTTGGGATATGGACTCATAGAAATGATGGGAGGCTACCTCAGTTCAGGTCAGGGTGGATGGCCTTCTATCTTCTACTTCTCTGGTAACATCGGATTCATTTGGTGTCTGGCCTACCTAGGATTAGGAAGTCAGAGTCCCAATGCATGTTTTTATATTTCTGTTTATGAGAAAAGATATATTGAAGAAAGTTTACCGTCAGCCATTCGATTACCATATGTAAGAATTCAATCCTGTAAATTTAGATTAAATTATAATATTTTAGTTAAGTTGGAATCTTGTTATATTGAGGACTCATCAGAGTTATCTTAAATTAACAAGGTAGTTAATTAAACAGAAGTTCAAGTTCAAAGATTCAAATATAATCTGATATTTTTTTAGCTTTCACTACTAACTTCATTACCTATTGATTACTTTTTGTTTCTAGAGAAAATATATTCCTCTGAAAAAGATACTCACCTGTGTTCCATTGTATGCACTAATAATCTCACAATCTGCGAACAATTATGCTTTACAAACATTCGTTAAGATAGTTCCTTTGTTTTATGAAAATAGTCTACAATTGGATGTTCAAAAAGTAAGAGAAGACATTTTTTATTATAATTCCAATAGTATTTTGTCTAAATGATACTATATCAAAGTCATGGAACAGAGTATTTTTAAAATAATACATTATTTCAATTAGTTTAGTTTAACTATTTAATTTTAAATTAGAGCATGATTCAAATGTGAGCTGGAATTGAAAACACATAGACAGGCCAATTGGACATTGTTCTGTCTGCGTATTTGTAGAATGATTGATCTCATGAATCAAGTGGTCTGTTTGTTTTTGTTTGTCTTCAGCCCTTGATGCAAAGAATTGTCATTACTTTGGTTCCTAACTGGTTAATCGGTCCCCAATGTCACTACATTAACTTACTTTTACATTTACTGGAAGGGGAGACTGGACTGGGGACTGGGGAGACCAAATGAATAACTTTTTTTCAAATTTCATATGCACTTTAAAATTAAGTACCAAAATAGCAAATGCCAGTTAGTGAATTTGATCATTTTTAACAATCATTAATTTATATAGCATAAAAATGTTGATATATCCTAAAATAAATATTTTTAAAATATTTAGAAAATATACTGGTCCACATGCCACACTAGTTTTCCCCTCCAGTAAGAGTACCAATAACTATAGTTAATTTTCATCATTTACACTCTTACACAATATAATAAAAGACAGCATAAATAATTTTGATAGTTACAGGAAATACTCTCGACAGAATTATATAATCTAGATCTCTCTTTTTGCACATTTCATGAATGTACCAAAAGTTATCATTTATTAATCTATAAATACCTAGGTGATATTTTATTATCATGCAACTTCAAATTATAAAAATATTAATTATAGAATAATTATATTTTAGATTGGCTTAGCAATGGGTCTGCCTTTGTTTAGTATTAGTTTACTTGTTTACATCAAATACTATTTACTGAAGTTCATGATTAAGAGAAGGATTGTGAATCACTCGGAAGTTCGTCATATTTTCAATGGCATCGGTATGTACTTTGTTACTACTCATGCTATTTAATCTCATGGAATAAAATTTGTATAATGCTGAAGGGGCATTGCAGTCACAGGACTCAACAACCCATTAGTAAAGTGTAAAACTATCATCATACGTAGTACTTGCAACAATTTCTGCTACTTTCAAAAAATAATTTCAAGAAAACAGATATAACTTTTTCAAAACTTGAGTACAAAAAAAGACAATGTCTTCTGTTACCGTTTTAATATTTTAAATTTTTTTTATCTTTGTTAATAATAAATAATTAGTTTTCAATAGATATAATTTGATAGGAAAATGAGTTTCTAAAACTTTTCATTGCACGGTAAACTGCTAAGCTGTTTGTAGGTTGTAATAGTGTGATGGCCAATGTTTCATAGAAACAGCTATTGAAACAGTTTAAAGTACAGTAGAGCTACAGCAGGGAATTGTGTCTGATTCTGTTGCAGAGTTCTGCATCTGTTTCAGAAAACTGTTTATGTACCTGCTACGAGAAGCTGTTTAAATTAAACAGCTTTCTGTATCTGTTCTATGAAGCTGTTTAAATTAAACAGCTTCTGTATATGTATCGGAAAACTTTTTAAATTCAACAGATTCAGTTTTTCTCTCTTTTCCTGTCGGTATCTCTGTATCCACCTATTAATTTTTACTGTGAAATGTCTTGGGTAAGTTTCTGAATTCAGTGCTGAGTTCATTGATGACTTCGTTTTGCTCTGATTAGAGATCTTGTCAATGCTATTGATGAATTTAGAGCTGATTTTAAGAACTTGCTCCTTCCATCTATTAGTATATGTTTAATCTTGAGAGAAACAATTTACTATATTTATTTACTCAAAGAAACTGTTTAAATTCAATAAATTGTTACTAAACAGTCTACCACTTAGTGCTATATTGTTGTCTAATAGTAACCTTATCAGGTTATAGTTAATATGATTTTTAATTGTACAATGTAATTTTCAATAAAGTGTAATGTTAATATATATTGAGTTTGTTATTAAATCTCTCATTATAACTAGTATATAACTAGTAGAGACACAACAAGAATATAAAAGGGGAAAAAACATTATTCTGGGACACTGTTTTCAGAAATAACTAAATAGTAAATATAAAAAGAAAATATGTTTTATTTATTTTAAAATAAATTTGAACCCTATATAATTAATTAAAAATAACTTAAAATGCTATTATTACTTTAATCAGTTTCATCTTCTTACTACAAAGAAAGCTTCTGGGCCAGATAAAATACAAAATGTCTAGCTTCCTGGTCAGAAACTATGGTTTGAAGAGATAGACTTACCAGCAAACGTCTATATGAGTATGGTTTACTCAATAAACAAAGGAAACAAAGAAAGACCAGAGGCACAGGATTTGAGAACCATAATTTGTCTTTATGGTGTATACAATGGACTGATATAAAAATGGATCCAGGAATAGATAAATGCACAGTAGTACAAGTGAATAGAGGAAGAAGTATTAAAGAGTATCAAGTATTAAAATAGATATCAGAAGCATTAATAATGAATCAACTGAGAGAATCTGATTCTGATAAATACCTAGAAATACACTAACTTCTAAAATTCAAAGAAAAGCTTAGACTTTGAGTAAGAATTTAAGTAAAAAAACCTGTACCACAAACAACCCATGTTGGCTCTTGGGTTCAGTTAAAAGTGAGGAAATACTGTTACAATGCCAATGGTTGTGCAGGGAGGCGACGGTCTAATATCACGCTTAACCGCCAGGTTTTTCCCCTTAATCAACCATTTAATTAAGAGTACCCACTGTATAGAGGCTGGGTTTGCCCCATCAAAGTCTCCCGGCCACAGGGTCGACCCTCCGCTGATGAAAAATTACTAATCATCAGCCGAAATCGACCCCCAATGTTTGACCTGGGACCTTGAGCTATGGAAGTCAGTGCTCACCCACTGAGCTACCTCGCTCCCTAAGAATTTAAGTACCACGCCAAATTAGTACTTAAATGTGATTTTAATGGAAGAAAATTAATACAGGCATTGAATACCTGAGTAATAACTACTTTAGCTTACTCACTTGGAGTTCTGAAGTGGACAAAAACCGGATTTAGAAAGGTTGGATCATTTTCTCAGAGTCCAGATGGTGCTTTTAAGGAAGAGGAATCGAAAGTCATCTTTAGTGGGGTTATATTTTTCTAGGAAGATGGAAGGATGTGGTCTAATCAGTTTCTTGAATTTATGCCAAAGGTAGAAAGTAATCTTCAAAAATACATCGATTACCTTACCTCCACCATCCTCCCAACTATTTTATTATTAGATGCAAATTACACAGCTCTGAATCTACAAAGTGAAATATATCCGGATAACAAGGCTGGGTTAGACGGGCAACATTGTACGGATGAATGAGAAGTCAACTCTAAAAAAAGTTGCTCAGCATGGAATCAGGTGGAAAAAGAAAACTGGGTAGACCGTAGTTGAGATTTATAGGTGAAGTAAGTACTGATGTCAGGATCCGTGGAATTAGGAACTGATGTATGGTTGTTCAGGACAGGAAAACGTGGATGGCAATTCTTGAGGTAGCCAATACAGTAATGGATTGTCAAGCTTGGGATGATGATGATGAATCTACGAAGCTCTGGAATCCCGAATAGTGAAACAGATGATGCCGCTCTTTTAGAAAAATGGAAAAATAAACCTTTAAATGGAAGATTTAGACACTCATTAATGGATGTTGGAGTGGACACTCAGGCATCGTTGAAGTTTGATGGTAGTTTCCACCTTTACAGAGGTGGAAGGGTTCTTGTTTGTTATTCAAGAACAGGTAATAGCCATAAAAGGATATAGAAGGCATATACGTGGAGAGGGTATCAATGACGTGTCACTTATGCAAAAAGGCAGTTGAATCAAATCAATATGTAACACAGGGATGTACAATACTTGCAGGTAAGGAATACTTGCAAATACAACAATGCAGCTCAGGTAGTGTATTAGGCCATGGCTCAATAAATGGAACTCGTGGATAACTATTGTCCAGGGGTGGTCTTGTCATTCCTTTTCCCCTCCACCTTAAGTTTATTACAAATAATTATCAAAATACAACCTTTAGGATACATATTACGACCTCTTTTTTTTTTTTAACTTGGTGATTTTTTCGTCCCTTCAGTATATCAACTAAGCAAACTTTCTAGTTTCGATGTTATAGACAGATATTACATCAACCATTTTTTTTTTCATTAAACTATTATATTTCTAATATTATTTATGATTATTGTGTTTTTTATAATGCCTTTTTTTTTTTTTTTTTTTAACGTCGAGATTTATCAGTATTAATGTTTTTCATTTTGGGCATCCTAAATTAAAGGACTTGATTAACTTAAGTTCTTTAATTTGTTTTTGATTTCTGCATTGAAAATGATCTACTACTGGGGAATTCAATCTTCCCGTATAATCTGGTCCTAAAAAATACCTTTTCAGCCGTGAACAGAAATGTCAACCGTGTCATAGACTATTTCATCTATAGCCGTGACATAAGAAAATATTTTTCAGATGTAAAAATAATCAGAGGTGCAGAAATAGGAACTGACCATATGCTCCTGGTTGCTGATACCTGAGTGCTCAAGAAAAGGATGAAAATAAGAAGATAAAGACAAATATTTGGCGAGACTGAAGAATTAATTATAGCAGGACCAAGTTATTGCAACCAGAAAATATATATTGAAAGAAAATGTGGTCACGGAAAATGTCGCCTTTGTTCTAAGACGCATAACTCCATCCTGCATGTAAGCAATGGATGTGGGACTTTAGTTGGGACATAATAATGTTGCCAAAATATTCCACCAAAGAGTATAGCAGAGCTTTAGTTCTACTGGACAACGAACCACCCTACTTTAATCCAAGGAAATCCCTTAAAGAACAAATGAGACTTTGTTGATCATACTTTTACACCACAACTGCACAAACACACAAAACACCTTTATTCCTCTAAACAAACATCACACAATAACCAACAAAAGACTAATACTCTGGGTAACCTCAACCAAGGCCACCTGTTTTTTTTATAACAGCTGAGCCGTGCTGTCAGATAACATGCATTAACTCAATACCTACTATAGCTATACTACTTTTAACTATTTACTTAACAAAAAAAGCCAATGTTTCCACGAAAAAAAGTGAACGCACTTCTCCAAAATGGTGTCCAAAGATGGCGGATTGGTGACTTTGACTTCAGTTAGTTTTTTGGTCACTGAGAATCAGCATTTGGTTTAATTTCGTCATAATTGGCCTTTTATTAAAGCTGCATAGTCAGAAAATAATAAAACATGAAACAATATTAAAAAATAGTTGGTTTAAGCAATAAAAACACCAGTAATGCCATTTTTTTTTCCTTTAATTTCACGTTGAAAATCAAGCGTCGTTTGTAATTAAACTGCCAACAATAACGGAAAACGTTCTGAAACAAGACGTATGAAGAACATATTTCTCTTTCTAAAACACTGATAACTTTTTTAAATATTTGAAGTGGTTTTGTAAAAAATGCACTTAATTGGCGAAAAAGTGGTACTGGCGTAGGTGCCTACAGGACTCTGTAACATCATTCAGTACTCATAAATGGAGTAGCTATAGTACCATAACGTTTTAGTTACATTACATTGATTGTATTAACGAAATTAATGCAATAATTTAATTGTAAAAAAAATAACAATTTTTTTAAACTTATTTAATTCTTTTAATATTACTTCCTTAATTCTATATGGAGATCGTTTAAGGAAGCTTCGTTCAAGGACGCTTCTATTGTAAAAAGGATCTAATTATAATAATAAAATTTAATTCAAAAATACTTCGCTGAATATCATGAATTTTTTATTTAACTTTTGCAATTGTATATTTACTGATTCTTAGAGGTAAATTAAATTGGGTATACTTTCTCGGAAATGAGTCATATTAATACTTGTTTTATAAACTAAAATATAATTAATCTGAATTACATATAATGAATAGTTGCCGGATTGTTTAATAAAACTCATATACTACTAATAAATAAAATTAATTTCATTTTTTATTCCTTTATTTTGTTACGGGGTCGGGCCATATCATAAAGAAACATAGGAAATTTTAATATCGAATGATTTATTCTCTCTGCAAAAAGAAAGATGGAAAGAGCGAAGCTGTGAGTTCTTCTTGGTAACCGGAACTAATTGTTAGTATTTGGTATCAAAATGAGAGAAAACGCGAAATTTAACCCAAAAATTGGAAAAAATACATTCAGCGAACGAGGAAGGAATCGGCAAAATATCAGAAAAGAAAACAATCTATTATATGGTTAAACGAATATATAGTCGACAGATAAACAGAATATTTCAAGAAGCTGCTAACAGGAGGTCAAATGCTGGTGGGGAAGTTGGGATAATATTAAGAGGACGAATACAAAAAATAGTGAAGATCATTTTATTTTCGATTGCTACTTTAGTGTTATATTGGGCTGCCAGAAGCCGAATGGCCTAATAGCCAACGGCAGAAGCGTTTAATAAAAAAAAAAAAAAGTTTTATATTGAGACTATCTTCACTTTGAAACAATTTATAAAGAGGTCCATCGAGAAAGTGGAGTAGCTCTACTTTTGCTTAGTGAATTTGGAGAAGGTCTTTGAAGTAATCAGAAAGGAAAACATAAAACGAGCTTTTCTGAATGGCAAGAAGATATTTGCACAATCCAAAGTGGAAGGCACTAAGCAGATAGAGTGTTTTCCCTTTCTCGATGAACTTATGTATAACCTGCCTTAAAGTGAAGATATTCCCAATGTGCAACTTCTGTTTCATGTGAAACTTGAGTTTCTCAATCCATATTGCTCTAGCAATTGACAATATTTCTTATTCTAGTTTCTACGATTCCTGAAGAGAACTTCTGTGGCAAACCGAACAGGAATGAATCTTGATGGGTATTAAATTTCCTATCTCCTTGCTTGTAAAGGGACAAAACTGCAGATAAAATCATTCTCTAATGGCATATTAATCAATATACACTGAAAATGTGGAGAAATATATTTTCACATTTGCATATGTAAGCGCAGCATTTCGGGTTACTTCGTCCAGACCTAATGACTTGCCAATTGCTTCTAAATAATCTTTCTTGCTGATAAAATGGTCTTCCCATGGCACTAGTGGAAGTACAGGATTTAGATTTTGGGGAAGCTTCGAAAGATTTTATGTTCCTACGTATTTGATGTGATGTAGTGTTGATGTGGTGATTGGGTAATGTGAGGGGTGACTTGGGTTTATATTAGAAAGTCGAGTATTGTAGAGGGTATTGGGAGTTATGTTAGTAATGTGTTTTTAGGAAAAGCGTAGGATTATATTATTGGTTGATGGTGTGTGTATATATAAAACGATAATTACTTTTTTTTTTAAATTATTTTTTAATATTGTATTATTCTCTGACTATTCAGCTTTAATAAAAGGCCAATTGTGACTAAATTAAACCAAATGCTGATTCTCAGTGACCAAAATAATACGTCTCCTACATCCGAATAAGCGGATTTAAAGGTAGATAACGTATTGGAGTGACGGATGTAGGAGGGGATGAAATTCCATAGGGACGAGGATAGAATTATAAAAGATTTGTAGAAAATCTTGGTACGGTGGACTTTTGTTTATAAATTTGAAGATGGGAAATGGTAATTGCGGAAGTGAACATTTGAATTCGAATTGAAGGAGTTCGGAAATATATGACGGACGCTAGGATTGTATGACTTAGAAAAGGAAGTATGCCAGGAAATATTTACGACGGTAGGAAGGATAAAGCCACAGGAACTCTTCATAAAAACGAGAGACAGAAATTTATTGTTATTTTATATCATTTTTTTTCTATATTGAAAGGTATTGCATCTGACCCTTCTTATCTCTCAGGCTACACCCATGTAACAAGTTTTTGTTTGTAAAACTGAGGAACAGTGATTTAGTTGTGCCATTAACTAAAGGTATTGAATAACGATTAAAGATCAATCGAGCTACTGAATTAAAATACTATTATTGGAAAAACATTTGATACTTCCAAAAAACTTCTTCTTAACGCAAACTTAATTCACAAACCACTTTCCAACTCTTTTAACTCGATTTGGGGAGGCTGTAGAACTGCACAAAACATTAAAAAGTGGAGAAAAACATTTAGACAGACCAAAATGACTAAAATCGATTCCCATTTTATTCTATTATTCTGCATAGAAAACAACCATACATAGAATTGCAGATCATTCGACCAGAAGGATACTGCTATGATTTCCAAAATGTCATGGTAGGGGAGCTACCAAAATTGTGTTCTAGAAATTATGAAATGGATTTAAAATGCACCTCCACTGATATAATATATCTTCCTATGGCCTTCGACTCAGTGCAAGAAAGTCTATTTTTTCAGGGAAAATACAAACAAATAAATTTAATTATTGATTTAGTCAGTGTAAATCCATGAAAACCCTTTATATTGTTTGTATAAATTGTTAACAGTTTTTATTTATAACTTTTCAAATTATTCATTTTTTTGACAAAATACTTTGTATACAATTTCTCTCTTGGAGCTCTAAGAGTAAACATGAAAGTCATTAAACATAATTTTCGTTTGTGATTATTTCGTCGGTTAGGTGATTATTATTAATTTTGTTTCCTGATGACTCTTGTCACAACTTGAATATAATTTCCATATATTTGAATTATTATATTATATTATTACATTGCTATCAGGAATCAAACACCCGCTAGACAATTGCCTTGGTTATAGATTAACAAATATTTTTTATTTACAGGTCAATTTGGAGCTTTCTACTTTTTTATGTACTGTGCTTTTACTGAAAATTATTATGTGTGTTTCACCTTTCATTGCATTGGAATGATATTAAGCTCATGCCAACTGAATGGTTTTTATATGAACTACTTTGACTTGTCACCCAACTTCATTGGTGTAATTGTTGGCATTGGTGTTTCTTGTGCCCATTGTTTCAGTATAGCAGGAACTTATATTTCCTTTTCTCTTTACTCACATTACTACCTGGTCAGTATTTATTTATTTTTTTTTATAGATGATTTATTATTTCATATTTTCATAAATACAATATTTAAATTTTCTTTCGGTGTTTACCATTGTAAAATACATCTTTTATGTATATACAATATATCACAAATGAAACATATTAAATTTATTAGTAAAAAATAGGCACAGGAAAAAATACTTTTTATACTAAAATAAAATATCAGAACATCCTCCGTAATATGATTTATAATATATTGTAGATTGAAATTTTGTGACAAACAATTATTAAAACTGAATAATGTAAATTTGTCTTTTAATTAAAGGTGTGTTTAGACACTAACAATGTTACGAAAAACTAAAAAAAAAAAAAAATTGTTGATAAAAATTTTTTTTTACCTGGAAGTTAGTTAAAAATAAATTAGTTTAAGAATTAATTTTAAGTTGTTGTGTAATAGCCAACATATGATTCATAAAATAATAGAGAGTTTGTAAAAAAAAAAACAGATGATGGAACGTTGTTGATGAAAAAAAAATAAAAAACCTGTACTTTTACAATCCATGAAGGGTCTTGTTTCAGTACTATTTTGGGAAAGTGCTGTTTCTTAGTCAACTGTTGCACCAGGAGGTGATTTGATCGACATCACGCTCAACCAAAGAGCTAACCCATACCTTGGGCAATATAGTATATAAATGAAATTATATTTAGATAACTACCACCAAGACATACAAATCTTAAACATGCACACAGATTCAAAATTTCTATTCCTCTTTAAAATAGATTTATCAACATAATATAATATAAAGTTTATTATGATTGTTGTTTCAACAATCATACACTTTCAGAAACTTTTTTTAAAAAAATATTTATTTTTTCACTCTGTTTCCACACTTAATAAATGTAGAAGCCCTGATGAAGGCCTGAAACATCTGCAGAAAATAAAATAAAGTTTTTTATTTTTATTTGTTTTTCACTGACTGCGACCTCCAACTAAGTTCTCAATGAATAATAATTTTTATTGTTTTCAAAATATTTAATGATGTGACTTAGAAGTAATACTATAAAGATATTTATATAGATAATTTAGATTCTATTTATCTAAATAATGCTTCAAATTTTAATAAAAGAAAATTTGTTGAACAGGATCCTTCAGGTCCCCAATCTATTCTACAAGCCAAAGAAGCTATTTACTTCTTCCTCGCTATGTTTTATTTTTTGGGTGGACTTCTGTGGGAACTTCTAGGCTCAACCAAAATACAACCTTTTAATGATATAAAAGAAACAGAAGGTAATAAAATGATATTTGTAGATATTGTAGAGCTTTAGTTATGATTTTCAGCATTATTTTATTAGTACCAGCATACCCATACGATAACTCCCGCATTACAAATCTATCCTTCACCTTGTTATGGGATCATGGGGTATTAAAACAAAAGTATTCGAGATTCGATGATCCTCTAATAGAGGCTACAAGCAAACAGCCCCAAGCTAAGGATTCCCAAACTCTCATTGGTTTGAACCAGTGTTGCCACCTTTATTGTTATATTTTATTTGTACTTCACAAATTATTTACATTGATAAATCTTATATCACATTTATATTGTTAATACATACGAAATAATAATGCTGTTTTCCACAACGATTTCCTTCCTAAAATTTCTTTGATTATGTCTTCATTTCATAACGCATCAGTCCAAGCACACCTTAACTCACTGAATGTCTCTCCACAGCTTCTTTGGTCGGATCTTTGGTTAAAATGCCTCCTACCTTCTCCGCTGTATAATATCATAATCCATTACTTCTGAGTGCAAGGAAAAGGAACTATACCACTGAATTTTTATTTACAGGAGATCTAGCTTGTAGCCCTATTATTCCTACCAGAGTGATGATTTTTTAAAAACTATTTATTAAAGTACTTTCAACTGTATTACAATATAAAGACATCAAGTAAAAGTGTACACAGGAAATAAATTGATAAAAATATCTGTTGCTGGATTCATACAGGACAAGTAGGATTTTTATGATTTGGTTGCAGATATTATCACATGAAAATGCTTGTTGAGAAACTACCCACTGGTATCTCTCTAATAATATGTCTATATATAAATAAACGAATGCCTTTGTAAGATATGTCACCACTGGGACCACAAGACGTTCCCATGTTTCTCATCACTATGCTGAGTTAGGGTGGCTCTTCCCTTCCTTCCGAAGGCAATATTTCCTAGGCACATTCCTTTACCAAATAATCAATAATCATCATCCGTCCTACTTATACAATCTCCTACAATTCAAATCATCAATCCACACCCTCTCCACAAGATCACGTCCTAATGACCTTTACACAAATCTGCCTCATGTAAACATTCCTTTGTTATCTGTTCCACTGCAATCTGGAATTTCATATCACTAAAAATCCGCTATGCACCATCCTTATACATATTTAAAACCCTCTTGTTCCAATTCTTCTTCACAATTCAATCAGACGCTGGCTAAGTATATATTATGTAAACAGGTTTGAATTTTCTTTATACATTATTTCTTTTTCTTATTTTTGAATATGAATCAGAATTTCAATCACCTTTCACAAAGCATTGTGACTAGGTATAATTGTTTGTATATTTTTGGAGTTTATTTTATTTTATTTTTTACTTATCTTCTGCACACTCCTCTCTATGTGTGTGTGTGTGTGTGTGTGTGTGTGTGATATATATATTATTCTTTCTATTAAATTAATTAATCAGATTTCTATTCTAACCTGTTTATATAATATGTATATATATTATTCTTTTTTTGCTCGTAATCTATTGCGTCATAGGTAGATCACAATGCTTCTCTAGTCTTTCACAATATCCTCATGTGTTTTCACTTAAACGTCTTAAGGAACATATATAAATCATTTATTTACTCTAGTTATTTTATTTTTTTTTATTTGTTATCAAAAAATTTGGTTACCTATAAAACTTATTTACCGTTTCTTTTCAATTTTATTTAGTTATTAGCATGTTTTTGTTCTTTGTGCCAATATTGTAATATTGTAACCCTAGTACCCATCTCCTTTCCTTAATATACCCTCCAAAACTATGTATATACTCATTTTATTATTTAGATTGTAGTTACTCATTATTATAACAGGTCATCTGGCCAGATTTATTGTCAATTAGTTTGAACAATATTGTTATTCTTAAGGGGTCTAGTGTCAGAATAAAGATGATTTTCTATTTCTATTTCTATTTCTATATAAGGAGATCACGAGGCCATCTTCTTTTCAGACGTCTCAGAGGATGTGTTGATTTATATATGTTATTTGACTTCTATTTTTTTACTTTCACTTTTACTTTTTAATCAGCACCTGTTAATTACATACTATATCTAATTATAAAAATTACTCTTGTTTGTTTTGTTTTTCAGAACCAGATGATGATGTTTTCAATGAATCAGACATTATCAAGACCTAATAAGTTATCTGAAATGAAACACTGTGAAAATTATAAAATTAATCAAATAAGAAGTTTGATTCTTTAACATTGAATTGTTGTTTTATTATAAACTCACTTACAACCTATAACAATGGAACACATCTTAAAACATTTTACCAGCTTGGGCCCATTCAGTTCCTCATATAAATTCCTCAGATACCGACAAGTCTCCCTAACCTAAGCCAGAAAATCTAAAGCATTTTTTCCTACTTCTGAAATATCACAATGACTCTGAAAATATTTAAACAATACAATCTTTATAAACATAAAATGTAAAGAGAACCAGCCTATACAGTTGTAACAACACATCCTTTATAGACATATCTTGATTAAATTCAAACAAGATGACTCTAACCTATATATTTGCACGAAATAACAAAATAAAATATATTCTTCAATTTAATTTTATTTCAGTAGAGATAAATATGGTGTTGAACACTTTTAATGTTTATGTAACCAAATGAAAAAGAAGAAAGGAGATAATTTAATGGTATTTAACCTGAATTAAAATGTAAAATTGCATATCTAATGCACCTAATAACCATTGTTTTATTTTAACAAATTTATTAGTTTTTTCTATACTGCTCCTTAATGCCTAATCATTGTATTTGTTTGAGTTACTGTTTTTTGTGTTTATACTATTTCTATGTAAATTATAAACCAATTAATTATTAAAATAGTGCAAATGAGATGAATTTGTCAAAATGATCAGTTGCTAAGGAGCAGTAAGAGGCCAGTGGATAGCAAGACTGGGTGTTGCCACTTTGGATCCTCATTTTAAGCTAGTCTGTCCATTCTCCTCCATTATTATATATCCTGTGGCTATCTCACATTAACACTGGAGCACTAGCGTATTCAGGATTTAATTTTTTTTTGGGGGGAGGCAGGGAGGCTTCAGCCCGAAAGCTTTTTTTTTCATATATATTATTATAATTACTTTGGAAAAAAAAAAAAAGAAAGATACTAACTACCTATACAAAATAGTGTTAAAGTGATTCTTGAGGTACTATTAAATATAATTATACTAATAATAATACTTTAAGGAAGGAGGTGGTCCGGGTCGATGGTCATAAATAGACTAAATGGTGGTAAAACTATTTTATTAAAAGCCAACGTTTCGACCCGACTTTGAATATAGGCATTACATTTTATTGTAATGCCTAATAGGCATTATATTGTACTGCTTATATTGTCATAACATATAGGCAGGCACATTTGAAATCTTATAAGTGAAAAATAACTTATTTAATACATCTTATTATTTTTTATCTATTTTCAATTTTTATTGATTAATTTAATTTAATCGTTAATTATTTTTAAGTATTTCTGCTTTGTATGATCTCTCTTTTATTTTTAATTTTACATACACATTCATACATCAATATATGATCATTCGTTTTTACTTTGTATTCATTGTACTTTTTAACCATTATGTCTCAACATTATCTAATATTTAAATGTAATTTTCTTATGTACAACTAAGTATAATTATAATTATTCATATTTGTTTCCTCTCTATACTTCTAAATTAGTTCTGCAATGTATGGTCTCTTATTTTTATGTTTACATTTTACTTTTTTTTTTCTTTTTTGTTTTTGCTCACATTGTCCTTCTATCTATAACTTCTTAATTCTATTTTAAATGTATATGTATTTAATTTATAATTTATTAGTCCATAGATATAGTATATTCCCTTGTATCCATCCATATCTTCAAATTTTAGATACTGTAATATTCCAGGTTTTGTTTTACTTTTGCTATTACCACCTCGCCATTTCCCAACCAAGTCAGCAAATTTTCCCAAAGATGCTTACTCAGGTTTTCAGATCTTAGTGAAACACCATGCTGAACACACCTGTAAGTCTCTATTTTTATTCATCTAATTTTTCATTTTTTAGTTTTGTTTCTACATATCTCTTTATGTTATTTATATTTCATATTATATCCTTTTTCCTTTTCTTCCAATCTCTCCTGTAGATCTGTAGGAGAATATTCACAATTGCATATATTATATCATATATTGTACTACAACAATTGTTAGCATCTATTTACTTCAGTTTAGGATCTTGTTTCTTAGCTTACTCTGTTTATATTTTAATGTACTTACTGTTTATAATTTTAATAAGTTTATTCACATTGTTTATAAATTTTTGTCTAAATATTATGTAACTTCCACAATTCTCTATATCTTTTTGTATCTTGACCGTTCTAGCCATGAAGAAGACCTGCAAAGTCAGTCGAAATGTTGGTTTTTAATAAAATAGTTTTGCCACTATTTAGTCTATTTATGACTGCCACCCCGGATCATTTCCTTCCTTCCTTCCGAAACCTTCCTTCCCTCCCCCCGTAGATCCGCCTGTGCATTGGAGGAAGGAATAAATATGGAAAGAGTGGCCACAAGGAAATGCTAAGCCAAAATCTCCGGCTGATGGTCTCATCTCCAAAGGCCTGTCATAGAAAGATCCTCAGCTTTCTATGTATTATTTTTATGTATATCAGCTTTTCATAGGTATTATATGAATTATAAATTTCAAAATGGGGAAAATTTGCGAATGTTAACTCTTTTTCCATACTGATAAGAGTTATTTTTCAGAGCAGAAGTCTCAACTTTTTGGCCTGTGGGTCACTTTAAGACTTCCAATTAGTCCCACAGGGCATAACTGCTAATGACAAAAAATGTTGATGTATAGATGTTAGAAACCTTGAAAGTCAAACATCAATGATACCGTTGTAATAAAAACATCAATGTTTTTTATTTATTTATTGTCATTATAATTAATGAACTTTTTATAATTGACTTTTAAGAATACTTAATGTCTAGTTCGCATCTAATATTTGAAGTTGGAACAATCATTTTTATCAAAACCAACAAATTTAAGACTATACCGTGGCCTTAATTTTAAATTATTTAAAAACAAATCAAAACCTAGATACAGGGCCTAAAATGGGTACTCTTAGCAGGAGAAGATTTGAATATGAAATATGAAAGTGTATGTTATTTTACTTAAAATGAGCCTAGTCTACAATTTTAAAGCCCCTGTTTTCAAATGACTATATAAGGCCAGTCAGTTGAGGATCAGTACGAAGGCAATGTTTCCAAAAATGTGGTAGAAGTTTTAATTTGTTTAACTTGTATATTTTGGTGCAAACATGTAAAAACAAAAATAATATGAAGGAGAACTTATGACAGCCAAAAAAATCTCAAGTAAAAGTAATTTCTGGTTTTTCTACTTAAACTTCTTAATGGCACATCAAAACAAAAAAGTTTCTCTTTTAGGAATTGAGGAGAGAATCAACCTAGTACTATCGATTAATAATTTTGTTAAGTAGTATAACTTTATCATGTAATCAAAGAGCAGGCCGGTTCTGGCTTGCGTGCCATTGTTTGGATATCTCTATTTTAGAGTTTTACATCTCAATACTATTTCAACCACTTCATTAAATTTTATTGACTAAAATTGTTTTTGTTTTTTTTATGGTGATAAGAGTTCACCCAAAATCCTATTTTGATTAATTTTTCTTTTCATTCTAGCAATTACTCACTTTTATGAGATTTACTTCTTATGAGTCCCATTTTTATTACATCACAGCTCTTGGTGATCTTAAGGACTAAAAAAATATTACTTTTTGTTTTAAATTTGGCTGAAACGAAATTAATTATTATTTTCATAATTATATAGTGCTTGTAATGGTTGTTATCTAAGTTATACATTATAAGTTATAAGTGCCCACACTCAATGGAGAAGGTATGGGTAAAAAAAAATAAAATAATAATAATAATATTTTAATTGATCTGAAATTTCGAGGAGTAAAATAATTAGCAATTTCGGAATAAAATTATAACTGCTCCAACTTTTGTAAGTGTTGAAGATAAAATAGTAAAATAATATCTATTCTTCACAAAAAATTAATGTTCAACAACTTTCTTTCCCATGACATTTTCGTAAAATGAGAGAAAAACGACAATGAAAACGTAAGGCAAATAATTGCTTTTTTTTTTTTTTTAGATTAGCGATTATTGAGAGTGCGTAACTCGGAAACTAAGCGAGACAGAATAAAAATTGATATATTCAATATTGTTGCAAATTTTATCATCTTTAATTTTGTATAGAATGTCTTTATCGCTAAGATGCGTTGTTTTCGTGATATACGATAAAATCCGAAAAAAGTGACCTGGGTGCTCCCTCACAACCGGCTCATCTCCCAGATATGGGGACTTGTAGTAAGTATCTTTACCTCCTAACAAGCCCGATCAAAGTGCCGAAGTAAAAAATTTTATCACTTTCATTTCCTTCTATGCCCTCTTTTTGAGCACTCGTTGACTGGACTATTTGGACAAAAACTACAGATAATATTATCTATCCTACACACTTCAAGGACAGGCGAACTAATGCTATTGGATATTTCTATCCTAAAACAGATACGTTATAATTTACCAAAGATGCTTCTCTTTAAAACTTAAATACTTTTATTATAAATACTTATACCGTCAATAACGAAAAATTAACTACAAAAGAGTGGGAAGGTATTAGCATGGACGCGATTGTTTTATAAATATAAATTATCCTCATTGTTATCTCAGTATCTTTATTACAATTATTTAATTACTTTTTATAATACATATTTTGTTTTTACTCATTTCTCATTTTACATTAATATTATAATCTTCTTAAACATAAACATACTCATTGTTAAAAAAACAGAGATTTCTAATTTTGACAGAAGTCAAGTATAATAATACTCCTTAAGTGTACGGTGATTTTTAATTATTTTATACATATATAATTCTTAATGATTCGCATTTTTATAAAGTTATTCTTTCTATCATTTTAATTTTAACTTTATCTGTATAGTTTACATATTTATATATGTAATTAAATGTGATAGATTTTCTTCAGAATTAATAGATAAATACCTGTTTTTCAAAGTAAATACGATCGATAACTTCATATCTTTTATTAAAGAGCAATGGCACCAAGCATTGTGGACTCTAAAGATAAGGAAGGACATGAGATTACAAAGAGTGGGGAGCCCCTATCATTACTGTCCAATCGATAGTTTTCAATTTGTCATTGTTAGGGACGACACAGCGATGGCTTTCTCGGACAAGGTAGTGATCGTCACTGGGGCCAGCTCAGGTATTGGCGCTTCGACCGCCAAATATTTCGCAGAGCGGGGGGCCGGGCTGTCCCTGGGGGGCCGGAGCGAGGCAGCGCTCCGCGAAGTGGCCATGGACTGCGGCCGGATCAGCGGCAAGCAGCCCCTCATCACCATCGGCGATCTGACCGACGAGAAGATCGCCCAGGACTTGGTGGAAGGTACGGTGGCCAGGTTCGGCAAGCTGGACGTCCTAGTCAACAACGCGGGTGCCTTGGTCTTAGGGTCTGTCGAG